TTATCTGTATGCAAAACAAAATATTTCTTTCTTTTCAACTAATTTATAAATTATATAGTTAATTAATAAACTCCGATCAATATTTAAAATTACAGCTCACGTGATTTCGTATGTTTCAAATACCCTAATCGCCTGATATTTTTTTTAAATAGCAACACCTATCGCTCCAGTAGCGACGCCGTCTACTGAACAGATAAGTTGGTGGCACTATAGATAATACGCGAACGTCACAGCAATAGACAACTTACATAAAGACTGATTGAGCCACTATCAAGAACACCATCTCCACTGTAACCTCTACAAAAGTGTCAACAAGTCACGCGTGAACATCGTTTTAAAGAGTTATTAAGATCGCGAATGTCTATAAGGATTTACGGGCGTTTCTCATCCCCCCTCTGTTTATGGCTTTTCGTTATACGGAGTGAGTAGCCAATGCAGCTACACAGAAGATAACAATTAGTTGGATCAATATGTAGGACTTTACGATTAAGGAACTACACTTAGTTCAGGATATTAGGTAGTGTAAAGCTACCAACTGCTGATATTATTATATATTATCATTATTAAACTCAACATCGATTTACAGAAACATAGCTGTGATTAAAGATTTTATTCTGTTTTATTCTATTATCTTCTTGCAGCGGCAGATCGGAACCATCAAATACCCTTTGTGGTAATAACAGGAAATGGTTTCCCTTACAGAAGTTTATATCAATAATTGCCTCATCGAGTGATGGTCTAGATTTTCTATTGAAAGAAAAAAAGTCAATGTATATACCGAAGTCATTTAAAACACATGTTCCAAAAGAAAAACTACTAATACCTAGATAGGGATTTTTCTTTTACAAATAACAGTACTTTTGATGGATAAGTTTATCATCCCGTCCGCTTTATTCAACTAGTTTAAACTAGTAAGTTTAAAAAAAAAAAAAAAAAAAAAAAACCTTTGTTTCAATTTCAAGTGCTATGCAATATAATTCACTCAACTTTCACCCGTGTCAAGTTTTACTGAATTGCAATTTCCCTCTTTATCTACTTATATTTCCATAACTTTCTTTCTTTATATCACACAAGTTTTAACTAAATTATGCAATTCCCTTTGGTCTAAGTAAAGTCACTGGGAGCTCTTAATATTTTGCCCACCTAAGTTGAGTTAGAGGAATGCTGCAGAATATGCCTTTTCTTCTACTTGATCAGTTGGTTCAGTTTTGTTATGCTACATAATTAACAACACAGCTTAAAAAAATCAACATGCATTCTTAGGCAAGCTTCCCACAGATTTCCACAGATTAAACCTACTGACGGAGAATCATACGGAAACAAAGATCTACTGCAGAAAACAGTTAAATGTTAAATCACACTTATAATGATAGCGATATACCTACGGCTGAAGATTCGAAATCAAATCAAGAACAGAAACACGACAATTTTTGCGATTAGTTATGTAAACTGTGACGTACAGCTGTTTAAGTGGTCACCTCGCAAAGTGCAAAAATGTAGCATTAAAATAATGAGATACTTTATGGACGCTAATAGTTTTAGTTTTTTTAAGTTCCTCATAACATAATTATCATTCTTTAGTACGGCAATTGTTTTCTTTTCAAGAAAAAAAGGTTCATGCAAATATTACGATCGATGAAAACGCTTTCGTTCGCTTAGAAATCTTTGCAATGATTGACAAATAGGAGCGGCACAATAGCGCGGGTAATACAATACGTCACGAGATACCCACAACAGTGAGCTTAATCCACTAATAGTTCCACTAAAACGTGTATTGTCCCAATAAAAGGAAGCGACAGACGAGCCATCACCTAAACAAACGTACCACTCACTCCTCACACGCAGACACCAGCGCGGCTGACGCGGAAGGGGTGAGGAACCGCGGCGGCGGGGGTGGGGGACGTTTGTTTGGACATCGGCACAATAGCGCCGGATACGAACGCGAAAACGAACCATTATAAGCGCGATAAAGGAACTTAAACATCTTTAAAAGCTTTGAGGTGTCGTCGAGACCCCGCCACCCGCCGGCCCGCTCCCCCCTCTGCCCTAATGACGTAAATCGAGCCCGCACTCTTTTGTTTTGTTTCCGATAACCGCCGCAATCCGCTCCTTATTGGGTTACCGCCTTTAATCATTGACGCGGGACGTTTTGTAACAGAGATGTGGCCCTAACGACGCGCAATCAATACGCACCGCGCCGCTCTGTAATCAATACTCCTTTGATTCGCCCAAATAAAAATGAGTAATTGAATCGTACCCGTAACACGCTTTGCACAAACTAGGCGGATGTCTCGTTTCTACTCTAATACTTGAAACACGTCGTTAGTGGTAGGTATGACATGAAACGGGCGAGACGTCTCATTAGTTCATTGAGTTCAAAAAAATATCGTTACCGAGTTATAGGGAGAGAAATGCAACTTAAATAGACGGAAAATGCACAGATTTTTAATCCGGGATCCGGCTTCAATGTTGGTTGTAACGTATCCGTCGAAATAGCTATAAGTAAGTACGTTTCATGTCAACGTTTTATGCACCTATTGGTTGTCTAAATTTTAATTATTCCACAGTCAGTGGATATTCTTATAAAAGTAACTGCGCATATAGAGCCAGCCATCATAAAGTGCATACCTCCATGGCGGGCACTTCAAGTGCTACTTATTCATATCAAAAATAATCTTATCTAATTGGCTGACTGATATTTCAACACAAAACTCAAACCACTTTACGGATTGGGCTAAATTTTGGGTAAGAACATAAAAAAAAAAAATCACTAGAGTTGTGAAATAGAGTTCAAAATCAATGGTGTGAAATTGTATAACAGAGCGTTCTATAAATTTAAAAAATCCCTCAGAAAACACTTGAATGCATACGACATTCGTTCCTTTTGAGAAAAATCGCCTTAAGGAGGTCAAAGAAGTTCCTGAAGGGGATTTTGGGCGTGGGTTGAGCAGAGGCGTGACCTCGTGGCGGCCATCGGAGTGGAAATTCTCTCGCTTAGTAGCATGATTACGGTCATGGTACGGAGCGAGAGCGCAGAAATGGCGGAGTGGAACCGGGAGAGATTTAGAACTCTCCCGGTCCGGTCCGTCAGGCCCGGTACCGCTGGAGACTCAGGCGCCGGAGGTCGCAAAAGGACCTCCGTCCTCCATAAGCGCAGGCTTGGAGGTGAGGCCATCTGTCACCCTAGCAGAAGCAGGCCGGGTAGGCAGAGTGACGCGCTATGGATTGCGCGTGCCCTTTAGGTTGTAGAAGGGGAACACCGTGCTTCATACACACGAGGGGGTCATCTACAAGCTGAGATGGCCCGAGGTACGTCGGTCTTCCACGGATTTCCTTCCTAGGGTGCACCTTTTTGGTCGGTTCATGTCCGACATAACCACCGATGGATGGTATCCGAAGGGATTTCCGTACAGACAAAAAAAAAGAAGAAAGAAGGGTCAGAGAAGTTTGCATAAGTATTCGTTCATATCATCCGTATACAATTCCTTGTAAAAATCTGTTGCCGTTTGTAAGTTATGTCGTCGATTAGTTGTAGTTTGTATTTTGTTATCTTTTCCTTTTTGCGTTGTCTTTGGTATCCATGTTGAATGTTCTCTAAGTTGTTTTAAAGCTCTTTCGATTCCTCCGGTTTTGTTTATTTGTTTTCTAATGATATTAAGTCGATTGTATTGTCTATTCTATTGATATGATTCTATTGATATGGTTTCTGATGGCTTTTGAGTTGAATTATAGACTGTTATAAATCTCTTACTAAATTAGCCTAGTCCTCTATATTCTCAACATAGCTATAATATGTTGTTGGCGTTAATTTTAAGACAGTACTTACCACCAAGTAGAATCCTGGCTTTTTGCAGTGTTATGTACACTCTTATACTACCTACTACCATAATACATTCAAATTCAATAATATCCCTCCAGCCAGAAGCAGTAGGTAATGAAGAAGGTATGTAACTTTAAGCTGATATGCATGTAGAATGAGTGTGGAAGATATTGGAGACTATACGGTTAGAGGAAGCCCAGAAAAAGGTAGACTAGAGAATCCTATTACAAGTTCACAAAATCCATAAAACTTAATAACTACCTAGTACTAGTATCACGCTGCACACAGCAGTGTCCCTTTAGAAAATTTTAAGGCAAATAGAGACGGCTACAGGTAGAAGTAAAACTATTAATATTTTGAAATGCTTTTGATAATCTTTAATTTATACGTTGTTTATGCCAGAGACCTGAAGGTCAATTCTCGTAATAAAAGTTCAGTCTCAATTCAGTTCAACTTTCGATCTCACAACTATCATTTAAGGTTATTTCGTAGTAAAATATTAAAGTATTACTAAGACTAGCAGATTACCGATTCAATTTTGGGTTACATTACGTTGTGTCAACGTTGGATGTTTACTACTTTACTGCCAAAATACCTTTTATGACAGTTGTAAGATCGAAAGTTGATCGGAACTGAATTCAGACCGAAGGTTTCATTATGAGACTTGGCCTTCTGATAAACGCGGATAGATGAACGCAGACTACGCTGATAACTTTATGGTTCGATTAACATTTGAAATTCAATTTTCTAAGATGTAAGCCTTCTTCCACTTCAAACTCATTCTTTAAATGAGTTTCACATCACATCAACAGCCTTTAATAGTCCACTGCTGGACATAGGCCTCTCCTTAGAAAGAAGGTTTTGGCCTACTATACCACGCTGGCATTATATATTTATTTATCATTATATATTTTATTAAATGAGTTTAGTGATCTTGTATTTCAATATTCTGTTACTTACTTATTTCTGGTGATAAGTTTTTATTTTAGCGGGAATTGCTTTTCTTTAATTTTTATCAGGTTCATTCAGCAATCGAATGTTCCTTTTTCTTTTAGTGATTGGTTAAAATTATTTTAGAACGAAATAGCTAACTTCACTATTACTGTCATTTTCGAAAATCTGTCAAAGAACATAACCTAACCTCTTTTTAGTAGTACTGATTAGTAAACACTGCTATAAAATGTTAAAATCGTTAATCAAGAAACTTCATGTTGTACAATCATCATGCGGTTTTCACACTACGGCATCATTGAATGAAGTAAGACTGCTGACTCGGCTCAGAGTGGTGGACAACTCGGAAATCGGCAAACGAGCAATGGCTGAAGGCAAACCTCCTAAAATTATCTGCGTTTATAATAAACAACGTACGTCTTCATATCTTCTTCTTTTAAACTATTTACACTTACTGGTTACCCAATCAATAATTACTATATGGCGTAACTTACAACTTTCTACTTCCTTACAGGTGTAGGTTACATTGGCGATAGAGTGTTAGTTGCTATCAAAGGGCAAAAAAAGAAAGGTATTCTGGTGGGCCTGAAGCAGACGCAGAAGGCGAAAGTGCCAAAGTTTGACAGCAACAATGTAGTTCTCATTGACGACAACGGCACTCCGCTGGGCAACCGCATCCATGTTCCCATCCCAACTATATTGCGCACCATACTCAAGGAGAAGACGCACTCAAAAGGAGCTGATTATACCAAATTATTATCTATAGCAACTAGATTTGTATAATTTATATAATTAGTATTTCATAGCTAGTCATAGGGTAACAATAAATTGAATATAATGCAATCATGTAGTCCTTATTTCAATTCTTAATTTGTAATTAATGAATTGCAAGTATTTCAACCACAATTAGGCAAAAAACTATGATTTTGTACGGCTACTGTAAAATGAAAACAAATTATACATTGGTATCTAAATCAGAAGAAAATAAAATAGCACCTACATGAGGACTGTTACTAGGAGTAAACATTATCTAGTTTTTTTTTTTTTTAAATAACTCCCGCACTGGAAATAAATCCTGTGTTGTGGGGGACTTTACAAACATATATGAAATGGACACAAGGTACACCCAGACTCAGAACAACAATTTGTGGATCACACAAAGTGTTTTCCCATGTGGGGTTTGAATCCAACACTCGGCGTAATAGGAAGCGGCGTGGCGACCGCTTAAACCACTACACCATCCATGTAGTCTTCTGCACATACTACTGAAAATATGTGTAATGTCAGAAATTGTATAGTTTTAGTTGGTTTGTATGTAATTGTTACATTAAACTCTGCAGTAAGATAGTTTCTATATATATCTATATTACTATTGTAAAGCTTAAGTTTTTATTGGATAGCTCATTTATTGAGGTAAAGTCAGTCTAAATATATTTATTACATTTAAAAAAAAACGTCTTTATGTAGACTTGAACTCAGATCAACACACACAATAGCAGTAATCTGGCTATAGGCTGTATAACATCATGGTACGACAAATAGGAAGGACCCGAGCATCAATGAAAAATTTTGCAAATATGGGACAAATTTATTCCTTTGAGGGATACAGATGAAGCTTCAGGTCAACTTTATTCCTAATTATGACAGTATTTCTTATGGTATAAGGGGGCAAACGAGCAGACGGGTCACCTGATGGTAAGCAACTTTTTGTTTATTATAAAAGACCACTCCCGCATTAGGAATATATCCTGTGTCGCGGGGGACTTTACACCCAGACTCAGAACAACAATTTGTGAATTGTTGTCACACACACAAAGTGTTGTCCCATGTGGGGATCGGACGCACAACACTCAGCGCAGTAGTAAACGGCGTAGCGACCGCTTAAACCACTACGCCATCCGTGCAGTCTGCAACTACCTCCGCCCATGGACACCTGCAACTCAAAAATCACAAGTGCGTTGCCGCCCTTGGAGTCCCGAATGTTTGCCATTCATACCGATATCAGACATTGCCATTATATCCCATGTAATATAAATCATGATCCTGTTCATTACAATAGTCCTCATTATTATCTGTGTGCATAAAAGTAATATTAAATCACTTTCATAGTGATCCCAATGTGTTTGTTTTAAATTACAGGGTACTTATCCGGGCACGCTGTTATTCCGGCGGTAAGACCCCATTATGGTGGATTGGCAGAGGCGGACCTTCTCATACCGGCTGATGCAGGTGAAAAGAATGCTTCGGAGATCACATGTGTCTGATCCGCAAGAAGCCAACGCCTCAGTGGTAAGGGGCGAAAGCGCGTGGGACTCGGCTGTCTCCTTTTGCGAGCATGTCATGCTTGGGAAAGAGACGGCGGAGTGGGACTGGGAGAGTTATAGACCTCTACCGATCCGCGAATCACGCGCCGAATGTCGCAGAACGACCTCCGTCTTTCATAAGCGCGGGCCTGCGGGTGACAAGTAAAGCCATCTATGTCTGCGGAGCATTTAGGGAGAATGTTAACATCGTGGTTCCCAAACACCAGGGGGTCGTTTACAAGCCATAGATGGCTCGAGGTCCGTTGGGGTGCCATGGATTTTCCTTTCTAGGGTACACCTGGTTCCCCGGTTACTCGTACCCGAGACGGCGTGGCAGTTTTTGTCGATTCGAGTCCGACATAACTCCCCCACCGGTGGGTGGTGTCTGAGGGAATTTCTGCAAATAAATAAAAAGGGTACAAGTCTTGCTAAAGTTTTTGACCCTACTGGTAGTATAATATAGGTAACATTTTCAAGTGCAGTTTATATTTGGAAAATGTTAACGCCTTCAATATTTATAACGAGAGTGATTCAGTACAAATACAGGAATGTTTGAACTTTATTTCTAATCACTAGCTATATTCACAACCAACAATAGGTTATCTCGTCTCTCTTTAAATTATAATATTTATACAATCATAAGGTTTGGGTAAAAATGAAAACAAACACCATGATCATTGAAATTTGAAAATTTAATAAAACTTATGTTCAGTTTAGAATAGACTTAATTAAGACACGCTACCTACCGATGGAGATGAGCAGACGACACGACATCAACATTTACAGTGTATATCATCCTACAAGTATATATATATAGCGCAGGGCGCGGCCGAGCAACCACGACCACTGGAGGTCGGCGGGCGACTGACGGGCGACCGGCGGGCGACTGACTGGCAACTAGCGGGCAACTACGGGGCGTGTCCTCTATTGCATATCACAGTCACGTAGAACCGACGGCGGTCGAGGAGCGCAGCCGCGCCCGTTAAGTATAAGGCTTTAGAATGTATATATTGCTAACGTAACATCCGACTCGTTAAAGCTGAGGACGCCAGTGGCGGTGTCGCAGTGCGCGGTCCCGAGATGGCCGCGCCGCTGACCGAGTAGGTACCATATCCTTACAATAACGCACAACAGCTGTGACTAGATATCAAGATTCACGTGCCTTCACCGCTACAAGTATCGTGGGCCGCCGACGGCTCGGTAACATTATCTAATATAAACAACACACGGCTATAAAGAGAACTATACTAAACCATTAAAATCTTGATAAATAACTATGCCGGGGGCTCCGGCCGCCCGGGTTCAACGAATAAACATTCCTACATATAGTATTTTACAAAACCGGCGTATAACACAAATATAGTAAATACAATAATTATTTATTTGTACATTAAGTGGCGTTACGTCTAGAACCGATCCACGGTCGTGGTAGGGCACTGGGCTTTGGGCTCTGGGCGGGGCGAGGGATCATTTGCACAACGCTTTGAAGTTGGTCATCGCTTCGGAGATCTGCGGAGAGGAGGGATCGGTCACTCACCGCCGAGGACTGGACCTCTGGGTACATCTATCCCTATTCGCAGTTAAGTGGAACGCTTTCATATTTACAACAAATACGCTGATGCAACTTCACACTGCAAAACTAAAGTATACCTATGCTTATATACAGATTAATAAAGCGTTCGTTTATATTTGTGCTTTAATTGATTGTACCACAGATAATTATTTTTTGTGATCAATGTCAGAATTTGATACGCCCAGGAGCTAGTGCCGCGGTAGCAACTTGTTACGCTGACGGTGTACGAGGTTCAGTCCGCGGCGATGCCAGGAGTGGACACGAGGGATTAGCGGGAGTATCTACATCATACATACACGGCTCTCGAAGGCTTACAAAATACTTGAGTGTTATGAACTCTAAGCTAATAATAAACTTTAATTGTATAAAATTCGGATAAGGCGATAAGATCAGTGTATAATTATATTAAAGTACACGAAGATTATATGCGACCCGCTCTGTCCCCTGCACCGCGCGAGGCGACGAGTCCCAGGGGACGGAGGGCAGGGAAGCTAACGTACGGCTTCGACTTGCACTTAAAACCATAGATAGATACAATCTTAAAGATTAAAGACATCCTCTGTCCTGTCCTGTGTCCTGAAGACAGGTCGACTTATATAGGCCACACTCAATAACTAACCTGTCACTCGAGATATCCTAGAGTGTCAGCGTAGAGAGCAGTAGTACTTAAGGGCAGACCTTGAATATTTTTTTCGGTCTACCCTCAACCGCGGTCGTTTTTTTTGTTGAGGTTAATTATTGAGATATGGCGTTCGCTACGTTATACGACACGCTCAGCTTACCGACATAATATAAAGGTGTAGGCACACAAGAGCGAGAGTCAGTGAGCTACCGAGACTACCGTGCGATGGACTCGCCGTGACCGTAAATAAAATACTAAATAACAAAATAAACTAAAATTACTGCAACAAAAACTACAATAAAAAATCTACGTCCGATTCGACTACGATAAAGTTTGTCTAATGATGTATAACTATAATATAAGTATGTATGTCTTAAAGTTAAACAGATTTTTTTAAAACGTATTAAGATAGATCTAGCGCGGGTCGGTCGCGCCACTCGCGGACACCGGGCGCCGCTCGGTGACGTCACCGCCCCCTCCCCCTCCCACTCCCCCCACACTGTACACGTCACGGCTACAGGCTGCAGCTCCCAATGTCCCCGTCGCGTTGTCGACGCACGACGCTTTATTTCATTACAGCTTTATAACAGCACGTACACGACGCGATACACAGGGTGGTACAGACAGATGGCGATCACATTGAACGGTTGTATTGTGGACTTCATTGATAATGGAAGCGCTAAAATTATTTAGCTTAAGTATGAAAATTGTTTTTCTTTAATTGATTTTTTTAATTTAATGAATTGATGATATGACACTCAAAACTTATATGGAATGTTCAGATTTTACTGACAATATTTGATCACACCTTTCTGTAGCAACCTGTATACCGTTGAAACAACATCGACATAAATAAATCACCACTTGTCTTTTTTAACAAATAACCGACAAAAATATTCGATTATTCCCTGAATTATTTTAAAATATAATTTAAATAGAGAAGGGCAGGAGAGAGAGAGATGTAGTATTAAAATAACGCGTTGAGAGTCCAACTCGTTCGGGAACACTACAGACAAATATGCACAGAGCTACCCACATGTGAACGTTCTGAGTAAGCAACTCGAAACACTCCTTCCTCTTTAGTAGAGAATCAGGTGCTTTAAAGGTGATACAACTCTGCGTGTATTCGTCCGTAGGCTGTTGAACTGCCAACGCGTTATCCGCGGGTGAGGTCGTCGCGACCGACTTGCAAATTGAATAGTGTTCTAGCTAGAGCGCGAGGGGGGCCGACGGGCGAGCCTAGACGTCGACGACCATCTTCTTGTGAATGTCAGTGTTGCCCACCACGTTGCAGAACTCCTCGAATGAGATCTTTCCGTCCTCGTCCTTGTCGGCGAACAGAATCGTTTTGTCCACGATCTGTTGCAGCTGCGTGTCCTTTAGATTGTTGCCGACCATCATCTTGAGGACCTGGAACGTCACCAAAGCGCGCGTTTCTATCATACTCTCTACTACTGTTATACATTACTATACAGGGTTCCGTGTGGTGACAGATTAAGAATACGGAGTATCACCAGCCCCATTTATCTCGTGGGTGTCGTAAGAGCCGACTAAGGGAGCAAACTACATAGGACAACAGCACTGCAAAGAGAAGGAAAACTTGAAATAAACCCTATACCATGCCGTGTGCATAGTAGGCCAAAAAATCTTTTCCAAGGAGAGGCCTATGTCCAGCAGTGGACTATTAAAGGCTGTTGATGTGTAATGTGTTAAGTCGACCTATATATACTTTAAGGGGTTGAAGTTACGAACATTTTTAATTTTTTATGGTATAAGGGGACACACGAGCAGACGGGTCACCTGATGGTAAGCAACTACCGCCACCCATTGACACCTGAAACTCAAAAGTCACAAGTGCGTTGCTGCCCATGGAGTCCCTCCCGCTGACTCGAGCGGATTTGGGCTCCGGTAACCTCACTCACTCAGTGAAAGGCAACGAAAGAATTGCTTAACACCGGTATTCTGTGAGGCCTGGTATCACTCCGGTCGAGGCAGCCCATTCGTGCAGAAGCATGGCTCTTCAACAGTAAAATAATAATATTAATAATAACCCCCCCGGGGGATCACCTTGCCGTGGTGGGGGGGGCTTACGGGTATCGGGTACTGGTTATGATCTTAACAACTCATCATTGTGCTGGGTCTCTGCTTCTGGAGTGGCCGGAGACCTGATACTAGCACCTATCCAACTAACGATCCCAAACCCATTCAATGGAGCACCTTATGGAAACTGAGAAGAAGAAGTATAATTTACGGTCGCTGCCCGGGGAGCGCCGGGGCGCATCTGGAGCCGATGCTGGGTGCCACAGCATGCGAACCATCGGTGGTGGGATGTTGAGCAGGCGGACTTATCGCGTAGAAGCTACAGCCGGTCGTAATGAGTTGAACTGGCGGACTCATGACGTTGAGGTCACAGCCGATTCTTCAGGCGATGATACAAAAACATTATCTTCTTCCATCCCTCAAACTTGCCTTCCATACATGACAAGAAGAACAGCAAGATTATCAAGCACTAGCACCAATAACGCGTATGCTATGCAACGCCGATCAACCGAGCGATTACCTTCACCCTCACTTAGTACCACACAGTCAGAACATTCACTCTTCTCTAATATACCATCACCGTCTTCAACCCATAGCTTATTTCGATCACCCACCTCATCACTATCATCTACTTCTACATATTCATCCCGAACTACAAGGTCAGCGGCTGCTGTGCAGGAGGCATTAGCCACTAACCCTGTACCCACTGCTGGCCCTTCTCGTACGCGAAAGAAATGGACTGAAGATATGAACCGTTTTATATGGCGTACATACCTTTTAATAACAAACTGCGAGACTTCACAAATGAACAACTATTTAGAAGCTTTGCATCGAGAATTTGACAATAGATATCCCGACATGCATGCCACTCGACAACGATTAGGAGACCAAAAAAGAGCCATAATTAGAAGAAAATTACTGTCACAACCTGTGTTAGACGAGATAGTTTTTGAAGTAAAAGAGCAAATAGAAGATAAAACCCTTAACCATTCACAGATACATAGTCACGACGATCACACAACACGCAATAGAGCAAATGTTTTCAACATCGAAATGAACGATGATGTTATAAGATGCTACCTTGAAGCAACAGAACTGGAGACAAATAAGACTGCCTACCGTAAAAAACTTTATGATTTGTTTTTAGAAAAACATCCGAATTTATCTAATTTAACTGAACAGAGAATAGCAGATCAAAGAAGACTAATATTCATTAATAAAACATACACTAACAGAATAAATAAATTAAAGCATGAAGTACAGTTAAAGCTAACAGATCAAAATAACCAAATTTTACCTAACCTAAACGATTCTATTACTGAACAAACACACAACACACACGAAAGCCTAATAGACTGTACACTAACACTGACTGAAACAACCACAACAACTAATGCACAGAATGAAAACATCACGATTCATAACACGGATAGTAACAGTAGTTTAGATAGTAATAGGATAGAAATAAAATTTAATAAAGCTCTTACACGTTTCAATATAATTGATCCAGAAGCAAGACCATATATTCCAAAACAAAAGACGTCACGAAAATTTGCTAAAATTACTCAATTTCTAAATATAAATATTTTGCCGAAACATTTAAACCACGAATTAGACTTTAGTTCATTACACACCTTAATATATTCAGCAGCCTATACAGCTGCTATTTGTAACGGCACTAAATTCAGCACTGAAGATAGTATAACCACTTATAAACGGAATAGGACGCCTGCGTGGCAAAGAAGAATTGAAAGCAGAATAGAAAAATATAGATTAGAAATAGGAAGATTAACACAATACATGTCAGGAAATAGAAGTCAGAGAATACTAAAAACTGTAGAGGAAATAAAGAATAAATATAAAACTCATTCACAACACGAAGAACCTAACACAGAACCACAAAATTTTCTTGACACACTAAAACAGAAATTAAACGCGACCACAAATAGACTTAAAAGATATTTAAATTGTACTAAACGGAAACAGCAAAATGGAAACTTCATAAATAATGAAAAACAGTTTTATAGAACCCTAGGACATAATAATCAAGTAACATCAAAAACTACAGAAGTCCCCTCACCACAAAACCTTCATCAATTCTGGGCTGGCATTTGGGAAACCGAGTGCAACACAACACTCATGCCGACTGGTTACAAAAAATAGCAGACACATCAAACGTTAACCAAATGGAGTTTGAAAACATCCCAGTTGACACATTCATTCAGATCATCAATCACACACATAACTGGAAGGCACCAGGCACCTACAATATACACAATTACTGGTATAAAAAATTAACCTGCACACACCCATTCGTCCACAGTCACATTTGCAAATTCATTCAATCACCGCACACTTTGCCAACATTCATAACACAAGGAATCACATACATGCTACCAAAAGGTTCAGACTCCAAAAATCCTGCAAATTACAGACCTATCACATGCTTGCAAACTATATATAAAATTATTACAAGTTGCATTAGCGAAATTATTTACAGACACTTAAATGAATACAACGTGCTGGCAGAACAACAAAAGGGGTGTAAAAAAAATAGCCAAGGTTGTAAAGAACAATTAATCATAGACTCAATAGTAATGAGACAAGCCCAAACTAAAAATAGGAACATCCATATGATGTACGTCGATTACAAGAAAGCATTTGATTCTGTCCCCCATAGTTGGTTATTATATGTATTGGACCATTATAAAATTCACCCTAGTCTCATAACATTCTTAAGCACAGCCATGCTTCATTGGAAAACTAAATTAAAATTAATAAATAACGAGTTAACCACTGACTTGACAAAAATTAAAAGAGGCATATTTCAAGGAGATGCGCTTAGCCCGCTTTGGTTTTGTATGGCACTCAACCCCTTATCTGAACTGCTATATAGTACAAATATAGGATTTAAATTAAGATGCAATAACTCATTCCACATACTCTCACACTTACTTTACATGGACGATATTAAAATTTACGCAACTAACAACACTGAACTTAATAAACTAACTGACATTACACAATCATTCTCGACAGATATTCATATGCATTTCGGGGTAGACAAATGTAAAACTCACTCAATCAACCGCGGCAAGACAGAATACAATTTTTATACACTTGATACAGGTGAACAAATAGAACCAATGGATGAACATACGACGTATAAATATTTAGGATTCCGCCAGTCTAGACAGATTCAGCAAAAACAGACAAAATTAGAGTTAACACAGAAATTCAAAGCCAGAATAAGTCAGATTTTGAGAGCAATACCATCAAAGCCATCAACACATATGCAATACCAGTTCTTATTTATTCGTTTGGGATTTTAGCCTGGTCCAGAGCGATCTCATTAAATTACAGCGCACAATAAACACACACATGACAACCAATAGGAAACATCACCCCAGATCGTGCACACAACGTCTTACATTACCGCGGCAAGATGGAGGGAGAGGTCTCATCGACATACAGAATCTACACAACAATCTTATAGATAAGTTACGCAAATATTTCTACGCCCAAGCCGGACAATCCCATCTTCATAAATTCTTAACCGATATAGACAAAAAATTAACTCCGCTCAACTTAAACGACACAAACATTCAAGCAAAATTATTGAGCAAACAGCAGAAAATAGACTTATGGGCACAAAAGTCTCTACACGGCAGACATCTCCCCGATCTCAGCCAAACACACGTCGATAGAAAAGCGTCGAACGAGTGGCTGCGGCGCGGAGAACTCTTCCCAGAAACCGAGGCTTTTGTGATCGCTATTCAGGATCAGGTTATCGATACTCTTAACTATAAAAAACACATAATCCGTACCCCTAACCTTCCTACCGACTTATGTAGACGATGCCATAGCAGTTCCGAAACCATCCAACACATCACTGGTTCTTGTAAATCTATTGTACAAACTGATTATAAACACAGACATGACCAAGTTGCAGCAATAATCCATCAAAATCTAGCTCACAAATACTCATTTATTTCAAATAAAACTGCTTATTATAAATATAAACCCAGTACAGTTCTAGAAAATAATGCATTTAAAAAATATATTGGGATAGGACAATAATTACCGATAAAACCATATATTATAATAGACCGGATATAACAATACTAGACAAAACTAACAAAATAGTTTTTATTATAGACATAGCAGTATGTAACACACACAATCTCCTCACGACGCACACAGAAAAGATGATTAATACACAGACTTAGCAACGGAAATAAAAAGGCAATGGCAGGTAGATAGAGTTAAAATAGTACCCATTGTCATATCTACAACTGGTGTAGTACCGAAGACTCTTCAAGATAGCCTCAACACATTGGAAATGCCGAAATCTTCTCTCATACTCTTACAAAAAGCAGTCCTTCTTAACACATGCCGTCTCACACGCAAATTTCTAGCTTCATCCTCATCATCTTAACTTCATATCATCATCCCTTTTTGGCACACTTGGCTAAGGCCCGTGTGTTAGATTTTGTTACCCCTTTAAAATAAAAGGGAGACCAGACAAGGTATAAAATGACATAATAATAATATTATTTCACTATAAAAATACCATATCCCAAACCTAACCACTTGAAAATGGTTACTAATGGAAACCCAGGAGCTCGTGAGTGAATACATAGTACGCTATTTATTCAAAAAAAATGTATTACGAAAAATTTCGGTAATTTTTATAAAAAATATTAAAAGTGCAATATCTTGTAAATACGAGGGCGGGTCAATAAGTCCGTGACTTTTTGAATTTCTGACCACTTTACTGAAAAAGCAACACTACTCCTGTCAACAGGCATCTGTCAGTTGACTCCTGTCAAAATTTGAACTTGCTGCGTCAGTTAGTTTGTGTTTGACAGCTATCTTTATCAGACTACCCAGTAATTTAAGGAAAAAATGGAAAAAAGTGATTTTCGTGTGCTTATTAAGCATTATTTTTTGCGAAAAATAACCATTACCGAGACCAAGGCTAAGCTTGATAAATACTATGGGGACTCTGCACCATCGATTTCAATCGTAAAAAAGTGATTTACTGAATTTCGTTGTGGCCGTACAAGCACGAAGATGCCGAACGTCCTGGACGCCCAGTTGAGGTCTCTTCACCCGAAACAATCGAAAAAATTCACGATATGGTGTTGGCCGACCGAAGATTGAAAGTGCAAGAGATTGTGGAAGCCGTAGGGATCTCGCATGTCTCAGTGGTTTCAATTTTGAATGATCACTTGGGCATGAGAAAGCTTTCCGCAAGATGGGTGCCGCGATCGCTCACAGTCGACGCAAACGCAATCGTGTAAAAACTTCACAGGAAGGTTTGGCGTTGTTTAATCGCAATATGGAGGAGTTATTGCGCCGTTTGTAACCGTGGACGAAACATGGATCCATCACAACACACCAGAGACCAAACAACAGTCAAAACAGTTTGTTTCTAAGGGTGAATCGGCGCCAAAGAAGGCCAAGGTGGGTTTGTCAGCCAATAAAGTTATGGCGACTGTCTTTTGGGATGCACGCGGGATAATCCACATTGACTACCTTCAAAAGGGAAGAACAATCAATGGGGAATATTATGGCAACTTATTGGACCGATTCAGTGACGATTTGAAAAAAAAACGACCTCATTTGGCCAAGAAAAAAGTTCTTTTCCACCAAGACAATGCAAGGGTGCAAACATGTGCAGTTGCCATGGCGAAAATCCATGAATTGGGCTATGAATTGCTCCCTCATCCGCCCTATTCTCCAGATTTGGCTCCGAGTGACTACTTCTTGTTCCCAAACCTGAAGAAATGGCTTGGTGGAAAAAGATTTGACTCCAATGATGAAGTCATCTCGCAAACAAAGGCCTATTTTGAGGACCTCGACAAATCATATTTTTGGAAGGGCTAAAAAAATTGGAGAAGCGTTGGACAAAGTGTATAGAGCTCAAGGGAGACTACGTTGAAAAATAAAATGATTTATTTATCAAAAAATCTGTGTTTTATTCCAATTGGGACTTATTGACCCGCCCTCGTAGTTAGGTTTGGGATATGGTATGTCATAGTGAAATCTAACAGAAATGATGGCTACAACAACCCCCTAAAGTATCTAGGTCGACTTAACCAGTAACCCTGTATGAGAAACAGGATAGAAAAATTAACGTCTGTAGGGACTGTTATTATAAAATATATGTGATCAGTTTTATGAATTCTGCTTGTTTTAGTATGTCTGTATATTAAAAACTAGGTTTTTCGTAAGAGTATTTCTTATTCCGTGTTTCTAAATTTGAAAACGACGAATTGACATTCAACCATTCATCCCTTATTTCCCCCTTTAAAAAAATATTGTCACAAACAAAATAACACGCATTCCAGAAAAATCATTTAACCGCACAATTCCGGGCATCGTTTAATAATAAGACAGGTTGGCACGGAACAATAAGTTTTATGCCAATACGCATAAGATCGAAAATAGATTGTCACGTGATTATCTTGTTTACATTCAAAACGGATTTTTATTTCACAGAAGCAGACCGTTCTCCTGAGGATTGGAATTTGCTAGAATTATCCTTTACGAGTATTATAAATACGGACACGTCTTCTTTGGAGTTAGTTCAATTCGAGGTCCAGTGCGGTAAACATCAAAGCGAATAGAAGTGTGACCCGGCGACCTCGGCGATCATTCGGGACTATTCTTCACTGTCGTTGAACGTTTCTAAGTGTAGTGATAATAAAGTCTCTTTAGTCGACGGAAGGTTCATTATTCCAAATCAACAAACCCTAAAACGTAACAATATATAGGTATATCTCATTAAATCGTTTCCTATGAGAAATTTTATTAACTTAATGTAAAGTACGAATGATATTACCTGGAAGAGTTCACCGTTGGATATGAAGCCGTCGTTGTCCATGTCGTAGATGCGGAACGCAAACCGCAGCTTGGACAGCTTGTCTCCCTTCACGCTGAACTGCGACACGCCCTGGATAAACTCCTTGAAGTCTACCTGTAACGTTCGTACAGCATCATCGTCAACGGGTTTTAGTAGTCCACTGCTGGACAAAGGCCTATCCTTAGAAAGGAGGTAGTGGCCTACTATACCACGATGGTCAGACAGGTTGGGTATGTTTAAAGTTTTCCTCCTCTTGGTACGGGTGTCCTGCATAGTTTGCTCCTTTAGTCGGCTCTTACGACACCCACGGGATGAATAGAGGTGGTGACCTGTGTATTGTTGATCCGTCAAGACACGGATAACGTTTGTACACTGTTGTACTATAAGTCATCAAGCTGACACTGTTCGGTATGACAATGCCAATTTTACATTAAACAAAACATGTATTTCTATTTATAACAGTGATTACTTCTATTGATAATAATAATAAAAACTTTACACATACACGGCAGTCTGATCTCAAACCAGGTCCCGTGTTATTTTAACCAGACTGCTGATAAACATACCTAAATATTTCTAAATGAATGATAAATTTGTTCAAACAGAACAAATGGTCGTGCTCATCACACAATTATTTGTCCTGGGTGGGAATCGAACCATCGACCTCCGGCTCAGCAAGGCCACTCACCACTAGACCAACAGGCCCGTTTAAATAGGTTAAAACATATTCTTGAATAATATTTATCTTTAGAGCATAGAACAGTATGTTGGAGCCAATTAACAGACACGTATGATATTTACATAACGGCCGACGTTGTTAAGTGAAGGCAGCACGCGCCCCACCAGAGCGCTCAAGTTTGCAACTTTCATACATAATGGACCTGCTACTCGTGACTTCGTTGGACTTTAGCAGTTCCCGTGCAAACTAAAACTAACAGATTCAGTTTTCTTTATTAAAATTTTTACTTTGAAACGGACCGGACGGATTATATTGGAAAATTTACCGTTTATTTTTCTGTACATACCTACCTAACACTCCTAAAATAAAGCCATAAGTTTATGTGACAAGTTCTACAATGAATTAAAACCAGTTTTTTATTAAAATGTATATCATAATATACATACATATAATGTAAACACAATCAGTGCTATCATGACCGATAGCATGTTATTGCAGTCCTATACATTATCTGTCGTTGATATCAGCACCTGAGCGCTATTACAACATGTTACACCATCACTGTTGTGTCCAGTTATCATCAAACAACTCCAAACAGCAAGCGTACGGCCAGTGTTCCACCAGTCGACACAATGTATGCCCGTGTGGTATTCGACTTATGTTCTAAGCTTACGTCACCGCCGACTTGTTTCAATATTTAAGTTTAAAATGGTTTTGTGGTAATTTTTCTTTTAACACCATTCATGTATGTACATAAAAAAAACTGGTGAAGTTTCATTAATTCCACAAAGATTAAGACATCAAATTATGCGATTATCTCCTTTAAGAGAAGACGTCGTAAGATTTAAATACCTTAATCAATATTTGAGTACACTTTGTCTTCTAGGACTACATTACCATAGCTCCGATTTCGACTCTCCGTAGTCGTAATGCGTAGCTGATGAAGTAACAGCTTTTCGATTCCCCTTAAGCAAGTGAAATGACTAATGCGAGGCCTATCGTGTTAGGAGTTCCGAATCGTTTTATGAATAATAATTGACATACAACGTGAGTCGTCGATATGCTATTGACATGGGGGCCTACGTTAGTCGCATATCATTTAACAGGTCCCATATTGGTTTGAAATTTATAACATTTTTGCATCAGCATCAAAGTACTAAAAACGCTTCGCGGGAGACTAATTTTGCACTGAATAAGTTCCTTTTCTTATGGTATAAGGGGGCAAACGAGCAGACGAGTCACCTGATGGTAAGCAACTACCGCCGCCCATGGACACCTGCAACTCAAAAGTCTCAAGTGCATTGCTGCCCTTGGAGTCCCTCCCGCTCGAGTCAGCGGGAGGGGGGATTTGAGCTCCGATAACCTCACTCACTCAGTGAAAACACCGGTTTTCTGTGAGGCCGTGGTATCACTCCGGTTTAGCCGGCACATTCGTACCAAAGCATTGCTCTCCCTGTTTTGAGGAATCATGGCCTTCTTCCAATTAGTCACGTAGTGATAAAAAGCAGTGCCTCAGTTCATCAGGAAGGTAGAACATCTGAAAGATCTGTAAGAGAATTTCATTAATGTGGTAAATAGTACGTACCTCGCCGTTGCCGTCCGCGTCGAATATGTCGATGACGCGCTGAACTAGAGGGTTCTGTTGGAGCTCTGGGAGCGACATAAACTCGTCGATGGAGAGCGCACCCGAGTTGTCCAGGTCGAGCTTGCGGAACCGCTTGCCGAGCCGCCGGATCTCGTCCGCGTCGACTGCGACACACACAGGCACATGACACCACCACGGCTCGCCACTCGCCTAGCTACTCTAGCGCCTACACACCTACACATACCTACTGCGGTGTATGTACACGTACACGCCGCGCCTGTACGCACTCTACGTTCGTCCGTATGCGTTATACGACAATATATATCGACTGTGCCGCCGGGATTCACCTCGGTCTGTATCGATACAGCATTCACTCGAACATGTAGCGTTTACAGCATGCAACGCGACTTGTGTTTATAGATGCATCACATTCAGATAACAGTTCTACTCATTACAGCTCATTCACAAAATAATAACTAACGCAAACTGGGAACGATGCCCTTTGTAATGTAAATGATATAGGTATATCGACACAACACGAATATATTAACTATGCGTGTACATTAGTTACGTCATAAATATACATTATTCTAAGTGGCCTGTCCTCGTGTATCACAAACCGTTCGGTTTGACGCTAATGAGTCTTTTGAAGCTGAAGGCCTGCGCGACGCATCGCGAGTTTTGTTTTACCGAAAATGTATAAGGTCATGAATAATCTTACCGTGTGTTTCGTCTTATCATAAAGCGCGAAATGCGTCATTTGGTACAATATACACAGACATTCGCATAGAGCCAACGAGTACGACAGTCAGCCACGAAGAGAGGGCGCGCTCGAGTCGTGGGCGAGCGGTCCAGCTCGCCCGCGGCGCTGAGCGGCCGGGCACGGGCACTACAGTCAGGCTATTAGACTATACATCAGTCGTGTAGCAACAGAGTGTACAAACGCAAATTATAACACGTGAACGCACACAGATTAACTTTTATCGACCTTCGTTGTGGGCTGTACCGTTCTATAAATAAACATACAAAGCAACACTAAGGATGCGCACTGATTACACCTTCCTCTGTAATGTACAAACATCGTCACAATTTTATGTATTCATAGAACATTAATTTTCTAGAGAAGTATAATAAATCTCCTTGACGTGAAATACGAGAGCCAAATACACGATGGTATGTAGCACTATGAGGAATGTGTAAGGCCGTGAACATCCTGATACAAACGTATCGTGTGGCGAGCGGTCGCGTCAACCAAGTGCAGGCGACCGATGACCACACGGCGACGCTACCCAACAGCGAGCGAAGACTCGCGTCTTTCTGACACACAACAATAACTAACACAAGCCACGACAAAGGTCAGCATTATATTTGGTGGTCACATCTCTGTGTGCGACTCCCTGATCGCTTTGTGATCTAAGCGAAGGGCAGTAAAGGTCACTGAACACTTAGTGAAGCCAAGCGACAGCGGGCCGGAGCTATTTATGAGCGGCGATATAACCAATAGGGCACACATAATAGGGATTGGGCTCCAAAATCATTCTAAATATCTATCCTTCCATAATTTGGTAATCTTATAAAGAGTGCATTTGGTTAGTGATTATTTTAGACATTGAAAATAAAGAACTGATAATGGAGCCCATGTAATTCTGTACAACAGCTGACCTCTGTCTTCTGCTTGCATAGATTCCTCACACCTGAATGTTATCATAGTAGCATCTAATACATCCATAGCTTAAAATTTCTAACTAGAAGGCTGCTGTGACGCGGGATGCACTAACAAAACATAACCATGGATCTTATGTCAACCCATCCAGAACAATTTTTTACACTATAACAGCTCATCAAGGTGGAGGAATTATGCAGAATATTAGCAGTATCTCAACATTGTCATGGTTACTTCATAGGAAACGGAAACAATACAACATAACAAAAGTCATGAAGCACTTAAACCAATATATGTATAAGGATAGACATAAAAATAAACTCCTTATCATTTAAATAAATAAAATAATGATAGCTCAACTGGGTTTTTATTAAATTATCAACTAATTAAAACCTTGACTTGACTTTGAAAGCCTCCTCAGTCAACAATGTCAGTCAATTATAATTATAAGGAAAATGGCCTTGCATTTAGAACCATTTATTAAACTGTTATTTGTTAAGATAGCACTTCACAATGTGTTCATAGTATTACAGAAAAATTGTTCTGGATGCTAATGTTGTGTGTGCGTGCGGTACTCTAACATGGAGATGAACATCGGAGGCGAGTGACACTACGACACTCACAGTTCTCCACCTTAAAATCAATGCAGTTTACACGCGCTGAAAACAAACCTCTTGTTATGCTTTATTTGCACACCCTACAAGGTACTGTACTTTATATGCACGGGACTCGGACTGTCCCGCAGAAACATGTTAATTGGGGATGAGGCAATGTATTAGCCACACAAATATTAGAATACATAGAAAGCATCTCGTTGATTACTATGCTGTCAAAACATATCAAATTTACTTTTTGGTCCAATTATTACTTTAAATAGGTTTATTCATCAAACAATATTATATTCAGGCTTCTTTAAATTATCTCAAAACACTTTAAGGCAAGAATTAAGCATTTAATATCAAAGTCTTAAATGAAAAGAGAACAAGATTAGAATCGGAAAGAAGAGATAGTAGAGAATTTCGTTATCATATTTTAATACTCACAATTTGAACATAGTTCCATGGGAATAGAGTTCTCGTTACCCTGAAAGAATAAGCGTTGGAACTGGGTTATCGATGTACAATAATTGCTGTAAGCTTGTATAAAAAAATTGGTGCAGTGGAATTAATTCATGATTTTGATTTAAGATCTGTGGTGGCACCACGGGCACCGGTTTCATTCTCGAAATTGGATCCTCCTCTCCCTAAAATCACAATCCGCAATGTTTTCCTCACTTCAGACCATGCACAGTAGCACTAATACTAACCATTTTCTTAGTTTTAATTGGGACTTGAATTAAATAATCACAATACCCGCGATGTGTCGGAAATTTAGAACAAATTCTAATAAGTCGCACAAATGAAAGCTCACTACACCTTCACACCATCGATCTAAATCTAAATAAAGGCACAGATTATAAAATCAACTAGACAGAATTGAACAGCCTCAGCTGGTTTCTAAACGAACTGCATGCTTTTAAAAGAACAGAGAGTGATCATAGAATATGCTTTTTATTGGCGCTTATTATATTTTATTCACCTCGCCTTTCCTTTTTAGCTCCACGGTAGGGACATTAAGAACTATAAGGTTGGAGGTTGTTCCCTCATCAATATATTATATGCTTATTTAGATAAGAAATGAAATCCCTTATTTGTTTAGAGAGGACTTTTCAAACTACGACTTTTGTAAACCGAAATTATAAATGACCGTAGTGCACTACTTGAATAACAGATATGGGTGGGGTGAGACTGTGATATTAATTTGATATTTCCATATACATATGTCAATATATCAATATACAATATACATATAATCTTTGCATCTAAAATAATTATATTTATAATATATGTGTATATATATATATTAATCTAATTCTCAGTGTTTTCTACTTGATTTACAAGTCAGCGAGATTATTGCAACTTTTATTTTTTGTTATTAAAGTTTTACCAAATTTTGTAAAAGTAGTTTTTGTATGAAATGAGAATAGAAAATATACAAAAGTTTGCGAAAATGCTATTTTCATAAACATTAAAAGTTACAAAGAAAAAAGTTTTAGGTGACTGCAAACAAAAAAAAACAATAAACTACAGCAGCTAGTTTGAGTTCAGTAATAAGGAGTTATCTGAAATATTTCACAGAAAGATTAAATAAATATAAATATTTCGAAATTTGGCAGTGGATAATGATAATAAGGGTGTGTCAAATTATTGAGAATAGGTTGTTTGATGGCTTGGATAGCTATTTTTAGGATCCAACCCATAAAACAACCCACAACGCCAAAGCGCAGTTGGCGCCCAGCAAGCGTGGAGTTGCCTACAATAGCACATGAATACTATGTACCATGACACTCGTTAATTATACTTGCGGCTTTTGATCGCTATGATAAAATGAGCCTATTTAGATATTGCCAATGTGCATGATAGCGAAACACAATAATAGCTTCATGCGTTGTCAAAGAAATGTCAATGTCAAAGTCAGCCGAGTGAGCCAGGGCCCCTCCCTCTTCACTTTTCTTCCCCCCCTCTCTTTCAAAAGTTCCAACCATGGCGGCCGGGGTAGGTTAAATTTTATCGTGTAAAATCTTAGTGATCAAAGTGTTATTTCATCTAACAATATTAAAGAAAGTCAATTTATGTGTACGTTGATGTGCGATATCTTTATTTTTATAGGTACTTTACACTTATCCGGAAAACTTCCGCGCTTACAAGGCGTTGATCGCCGCACAGTACTCCGGAGCCGATGTGAAAATAGCTCCTAACTTTGTGTTCGGTGAAACTAACAAGTCCGAGGGTTTCTTAAAGAAGTTCCCAGCCGGTAAAGTGAGTGTAACATAACTGCTCTTCTACAATATGTTCAGTGATTTTTCGGCATATTTGAGTGAGTGTGACGTGTAATTATGTGATTTTTGTAGGTGCCAGCCTATGAAAGTGCCGACGGTAAAGTACTACTCACAGAGAGCAATGCTATCGCATACTACGGTAAGTGTTAAAACTCATACTTATTTATATTAAGACGAAAGTTTGCCTGCCGAATTCTAACCTACAATCATCTGTCTGCAGATGTTCGCTAAAAATGGGGTTGTTTAGCAGATGTCGTGGACCTATTAAGTATTAATCTCGGCGACTTGACTTTGCATTTATCAAATCTAAATTATTTCCGTGTGTGGGTTAGTTAGATTTTGAAAAAAAAAGAAATAATTCAAGGGTTTAGCTACAAATGAGAAATAAGTTATAAAGGTACCAGATAACTTAATTCACAGACAACAAATTTAAGTCAGGTAAACTTGTAGAAGTTCTTTTGTAGAATAAATAAATTCAATATTGTAAATCCTATCTTCTATATCAATAATATGGCATACAAGAATTTGGCCTATTTGGTCATCAGTTATTATAGCTCAGAAGCTATCTTGACAGTCCAAGAGGAGATTGAAGGGTGAAGTGAGTCATCAAAAAAAGTCATCTCTCAGTTTCTTAGTTAAATATTCATTTATATTATAATCCTGTTCAAACTGGAAATATTTCTAACATCAGTCAGTTCCAATTAGAACAGTACTTATTCAAATCTAATATTTATTTTACAGTGGCTGATGCTGCCCTCCGTGGTGGTGACCTGGCTACTCAGGCAAGAGTATGGCAGTGGGCCTCATGGGCAGACAGTGAGCTGTTGCCTGCCTCGTGCGCTTGGGTGTTTCCCTACCTCGGTATCATGCAGTTCAACAAACTGGTTAGTAACTTAAATGATATTTCTAGATGATCACACTAATATGATGACTGCAGTGATGGCTTAGTGGTTACAGCGGTCGCAACGCGGCTGCCTACTGTGCTTGTTGTGGGTTTGATCCCCACATGGGACACCACCTTGTTGTTCTGAATCTGGGTGTTCTTTGTGTCCCCTGTGACACAGGATATATATTAGGAATATATATCCTGTGTCACATTTTGTAGTCTTTTTAAGAAAAATATTACTTGTTTTTTTATGGTAACGGGATCATTAATTATCATGCAAACATTTTAAGGGAATGAAATTTGAAATAAAACTATTTAGAAGGATCTCAGTTCCCCTAACAGTTGGTTTGAGTTGCAGTTATGCAATTTGGACCAGCTCAAGCTCTGCTTACAAACCTCAAACCATTTCATATTTCTCTTTCAATATACTTGAGCTTTAGACTTGCCCTCCCCTATTATGTGAGGGAGACCAAATCATATTTGGCAAAATGTTTGTATCACAATATGCCACCTGCCTGTGCCCTAAATTCATTGCAAGCTTATGTGTGTATTTGTATGTGTTCTAGCTCTGAAATCTAAAATTCACCTGTGTTTTTTGCTCCGTAGAATGTTGAGCGTGCAAAGCAAGACCTCCTGGCCGCTTTGAAGGTGTTGGACTCTCACTTGTTGACGCGCACATTCCTTGTCACAGAAAGGATCACACTGGCAGACATCATTGTCTTCACTACGCTACTGCACGCTTACCAGGTAACTTAATAGGTACTACATATAGTAATGGACGTGAAGCTAATTTTTAAATAGCAACATAATTCCAACTATAAAATATTGATATATTTTATCACATTGCTTTCATTTTTACTACATTTTCAACTAGAGATGGAAATTATTGCTATTTTCAAATCAATCATATGATAAAATGTTTGGTTTTAGTCAACAGCTATTTCACTTGTGATGGTGTCTGGCCTGTAATAATGATAAGACACAGTGGTTTTGTAAATTAGTCACATGTGTGATTTTATAATTTATAAATCATATGATTTATGGCAGGTGATTGACATTCCATTCCTAATGACAACACGAATTCGAATAAGTTTAATTTTGTGTCATCAACACTACAGAGTAGGATTTATGAAGCTTACAAGAAATATGACTTGTGTGTTACATCATTTGTACACACTATGGTGGCACAGGGGTATTATAAGTAGAGTGGCGTGGTGTGTGACAGCACGTGCTGGACGCTTCGCTGCGCAAGTCGCTGGTGAACGTGGGGCGCTGGTTCGTGACCGTGGCCAACCAGCCGCGCGTCCGCGCAGTCGTCGGTGACGTCACGCTCTGCGCCGCGCCGCCCGCCGTCGACCACAAGAAGTTCCAGGACCTCACCAACAGCAAGAAGGTACCCGCTCTTCCTAACATTGTACATTTAGCTTTGAAGCTCTCATTTCATTTTAGTGATCAGTGTAACGTAAACTGTCATTGTGTAACCTTTAACAAAATGATAAGTCAAAATAGTATTTTTATACTTTAGCCCAGTATCGAACGTTTCGAAACGGCGACGACCGTTCGAAAGTAAACAGCGGTTGTGTAAACGGTTTGAGTTGTTTCAGGACGGTGCAAAGAAAGAAAAGAAGGCCGAAAAGAAAGAACAGCCCAAGAAAGAAAAAGTGGAGGAATCCCCAGCTCTAGACGATGAACTGGAAGAGAAGCCTAAGGAGTCCAAGGATCCCTTCGACTCTATGCCTAAAGGGTAAATATTTATGGGGCGAGCCATACATACATACACTTTACGATTACTGAAAGAAAAACGTATATAACTGAAGTATTTAAATGAAAAACTGCATGCATGGTTGTGACAATGTTGGCAATGTTTTGAATACAAAATACATATCAGTAAAAAATAATATAAACTAGAAAATGTTATTCCCAAATGTAATGACAGTGTAAATACAGAAATATTATTTGAAACGCTTGTACTGAAATAGCCTTCGTTTTAAAAACACACATCTGCATATTTCTGGGTTTGACAACGTCCATTACATTGTTTTCGTAATGTATGTATGACTTTCAGAACATTCAATATGGATGACTTCAAGAGATGCTATTCAAATGAGGATGAATCAAAGTCAATCCCCTACTTCTGGGAGAAGTTTGACCCTGCAAACTACTCCATCTGGTACGCTGAATACAAGTACCCAGAGGAGCTCGCCAAGGTGTTCATGAGCTGCAACCTCATCACTGGTACGTTCACTTTGTACATTAGAGTGGTGAATTTAAAGTTGAATTGTATTTTAAAGTAATTTTACTGACGATTTTTCTCTACAAGGAGATAGGGAATTGGGGAGTTACAAAACGAACAACACAAAGTCCACCTTAGGGCTTTATGCATTACTATCCCGTTATTAAACTATAAAAACTGCGAGTACTTGAAATCTAAACATCATCTGTGTTTCTAAAGCCCTCATAGAAGCGACTGAAAACTTTATTATTACGAAGCCTCGATAACTAAGGAGTGAGAGTATTATAAGGCGCGTGTGGTTACAGGCATGTTCCAGCGCCTGGACAAGATGCGCAAGCAGGCCTTCGCGTCGGTGTGCCTGTTCGGCACGGACAACGACTCCAGCATCTCGGGCGTGTGGGTGTGGCGCGGCCACGAACTGGCCTTCCCTCTGTCACCGGACTGGCAGATCGACTACGAGTCCTACGATTGGAAGAAGCTCGACCCCGCCAACGAGGAGACCAAGAAGCTGGTCCAGAACTACTTCTCGTGGTCCGGCGAGGACAAGAAGGGACGCAAGTTCAACCAGGGCAAGATTTTCAAATGAGCCGCCCCCTCATCGCCGCCGTATTGTAAAAAGAAGTCGCATTTATTTTGTACCGCCCCGAGTGGCCAGCCGCCCGCTCCACACCGCGACGTCCGGCTCTAATAAACTGTTTTTTATTTATTCTTTGTTGTTTTTGTTCTCCTCCTATGATTTAAAAAAATAACCACTTGTGTAACGTTGCGAGAGGGGACAAACGAGCAAAAGGTGATGGGAAGTGACCACCTCCTCCCATGAACGCCTGAAACTCACGAGTCACAAGCGCGTTGCCGGCCTCTGAGGAAGGAGTATTTATTCTCTTTTCTTGGAAGGTCACATCGGTCCGAAAATACCGCAGACGATAAATTGTACCACATATTGGCTGTGCGAGGCAAAAATGTCTTGAAAAGCGCAGTGGTGTAGTGTCAATTATCCAAGTGATGGGGATGAAGATTTTGCCGTATGAAACGATGGCGAAATGGGATAGGTATGTTTGGAAGAAACGAGTTCACGATTTCAATAAAAATTAAAATTGTACTTTTATTTCTTCCGTCAATCTCTCAATACATGTTTATATTTATGTTATGGAAGACTGGACTTACAAAGTTTCGGTGTTCATAATTCCGCGGCGTGTATAATTAAAATATTTTGGTTGTTACACTGTTATATCTATATAGTTCGTAGTATATAAAGTCCCTTTGTTGCTCTTACGCCTAATATGTTAGGTTACGCTAAGTTTTTAAAGAGGCGACAGTGGTTCTTTCACCTTGGGCTGTTGTAACGTTTTAACCATCATACCTGAAGAAGATACTTGCCTCTAACCACCAGAGAAAATTTTGATCGTCGCAGAGGTTTTCGTCGCGGTCACCGTGACGGTCAAGTAGATGCAAAATAAACTCACACTTGTGCCTGTGGTGACTTTGGTGATTGATGTGTCGTGTGCGTCTCACTTGATTTACAATTACGAGGTACGACAACTTGGTAAATTCAATAAGGAAGGATTCAATAAGGGCTCAAATATTTCAAACAGCAACTACTCTTGAGACGGTGGATAAGTGATCGGTTTGTTTCGTTACTTCAAATAAGTATGTCATTTCGATAGCTGCAAAGTTTTTAAAACTTGGTCCTGCACCTATATTAAAACCTAGTGCTGCAACTATTTTAAACTCAGTCTTGCATACTTTTTAAGTCCGATTGTATTGCCATTTTCATAGAACACTTAGTAATAGTACTATTAGAAGTCAACTACAACACCGGATTTTGTGATTTACAAAATAAAAATGCAATAAATGGAAAGCAAAATTCATATTTTCTCGTCTCAGACTTTTGCCTAACTGATCATTTTTGTTTAACATTATTACATATATTTCTTACATAATATTGCGTTAATAAAATCAACTAACGTTACAATAGAATCGCTGAAGTAAAAGTTGCGAGCAAAAGGACGCGAGTAGATACGTACAAATAAGTTAGTGAAGCGGGTAGAACTCACGACAGCAATAGTGGCGTCACACCCAAAACAAGTACAGGTGAAAACATTAAGTAAATATAAGTACATAATAACAGTATATAGGTAAATGCATTTAGTTGTTGCGCGTGAACGCTGAGCGCGGCACACACGCTACTACCATTTCTATAAATGCTACTTTCGCTCTTGGGCCCTGCCAGCTAGGGTTGACAACACCTTTGCCGCTTAATATACTTATTATTTCTCTCTTTTCAAATATTCGAGGAAAAAATCTAAGGTAGAACTTACAACATGCGTTACTCATTTTATTATAAACTACTTTTCTTTGTTTTAAACAGCGAACGATATGTTATACATAGTATAGTACCATATATCTCATTATGTAGGTAGGTTGGCAACCCTAGCGCCCTGCCCTGCGCCTTCTACTCTGTACGAAGACAGATTACAGCGACATAACGCCACAAGGGTCTCAACATCACACTCAATACACACATAACCTTGGTCGGTTTTACATTATCACATAATTGTTAATCATTTTATTGCAATCTCCTTACTCCACACCATAAAAGCTCACATAATGTATCATAAGACCTTAAGATAATATAGTGCTAAGGGCTAATGTTGAGCTCTTGGTGTGGCCATTCTTACAATATAAATATTTGAGATCTTAACAACACTGACAGTCGTCCGAAGCGCCGAAGTATTACTTGCAGAAATTAATTTTGAGCAGAGGTACCTTCGTCGAAAGTGCTTAACGTGTTTATTTCCGGATTGTGGTGTTGTGTTGTTTTGGTCACGAATAAAAAATAATAATTTAATTCTGACTTTTCACTAGATGCAAATGTTGGAGTTATCTGATCAAACGAACCCGCTGTGCAACAGCATCATATTCAATAATTTTGCCCTAATAACGCAATTGTTTACAAAAATGTTAAAAATAACAACAAGAAGTAGAGTAAATAACTAAAATAAAATTATAAAATAAACACTTAACGGTAAGATTAAGAGGAGAAGCTAAACTGTTGTAACTAAACATTTAACAATAGATATCTATTATCAGATTAAACATTTTAATATTCAGAATTTTCAATAACAGGTACCATTAAAAATATTCGCAGTTCTGGGAAAAAGGCATTACGATTATCCCTTTGGAGAGTTGAATAGTGCAGCAGTGTGGGTAGGTAGCACTATCTAAGAGCTGGTAAATTCAACGACCCACTAAACATTAATATTGTTGTAAATATATTTTTTTAATCCTTCTAAATTTTAAATATTTTCACATGAATTTGATATATTTTCAAAGTTAGACAATTCAATAGCAGAAGTATGTCCTGCAATTCGACAAAGTGAAGATAATACATAAACATCTATTTACATTGAATAAAAACATTTATATTTTGTTAATAATTAAGGTTTCCTCCATACAGGCTTGCTTAGTGAGGAAACCAACGGATAACATAAATTTTAATTATTACGCTTTCTGTAAAGTGTATGTCACTAAATTAAGTCATTTGTTTGTTATTACCTTATCATGTAACATTTTGCAGAAATAAACGATTTTATTATATATATGTATATATATTATTACTGTTTAGACATAAATCTGTTAAATTGTTGTGCTCGAATCACCTTCCTTGGTAGAAATCGAACGGGACGAAGTAGACCGTTATCGACATTTTTATTTCAAATGCTATTGATAGTTTATGGAACAGATATATATGGAACCGTCCGCGCACCACATTAAAATGATAGCATCTTATGCAAGCATAGTTATGAGTATGTTTCGTTTCGGCGCGGACACGTAACGGAAGCTCGCTACTATAGTTATTTCCTGTGACAGTATCAAAATGCTTGACAAGGGTGCATAGGTCACCAACAATTAGAACACAACAATTGAAGTACTAGTAATGCGTTATGACGTGGTTCACTCTGAACTCACGGCAGCATGCACTAGACGCTGCTCACTTGCGGCCAGCCGCGAATGTACCACAATGTACATAAAACATTAGTTTTTCTTTGTAAAAATCACAACGTACATTCGAACAGTTCAATAAACATCAAAAATGCAAAGATCAACGGTGGCTAGTAGGAGATATATAAACGACACTATAAATATACATGTTATATACCTAATGAACCGGGTAAATTTACATCTCAAAAATGATAACGTCTCCCTCCAGTCAGTAGAGAATATAACTATAAAACATTATAGATGTGAAGATTGCGCGGCGCGGTCCGGCGCGGGTCAGTGCGGCTGTCGCCCCTGCGAGGTGAACACAAAACAAGAGTAAGTCTATGTAGAATTATTTAAAAAAAATAACAATAGTTTGGGTTTACTCATTTGTTTTGGACATGAAACGTGTTTAGGATATAATTATCTCGGACATCTCATACGATGCTGTGTAAGCACCAATGTGTAAGCGTTTTTGGATCCATTCAATGCTGCATGAGGTACGGCTGGGTCTTCTTCGATGTCTATGCTTTGCCTCATTGGGCATTACTGGCAGATGTTCCCTACTACCTATGATCTAAAAATATTTGTTTCTTAGTTTGAGTGTTTTCTATGTATTAAATGTAAGTTTTTACAAAATAAATCTAGCTTTCATAGTACAAGCTCTGCTTAGTTTAAAACTAGAGGGCGTTGTGTGTCAGATGTCCAAAAAATATTATTACTAGGTAGGTATATTTTCTTTTTTATATTCATATTAATTATATTTTTTAATATATAACAAAAGAAACAAAAATACATTTAATCCCCCAAAGACAGGAACCTCCTCACTATACGGGCCGTGTCAAGGAGAACTGCCTTCTGCATCATCCACCATCCATTCCCAAAGTTGTTGGTCGAGGCTCTTTTCTATCAATCCGTGAGCAGATACGACTATCGGAACAATGATCACTGAATCCACATTCCACATATTGACAATCTCATGAGTTAAATCCAAATATTTTATTTATTTTTCATTTTCAACTTTCACAAGATTTTCGAATTATTATAGGACAAATAACTATGTGATGAGTAGGTACGATCGTGCAAATCATTATAAATTTCACAGTACAGAAATATAACGTGGGAAATCCCCGCGTTATATAGGGGAATACCCGTGCTGTACGAGGGATTGAAATCGTGTAATATGAAAATGTGTTATAAGAGTATCTTGTTATAGGGGGATTACTGGATATAAGTAGGGATGTTAATCAGCAGTCTGGTTACCATAGTACAGACGGCCGCGTGTGGGATGGGTGAGGTTATTTTTATTGTGACTATTAGTAAGCTGAAATTTTATTGGGCAAGCCTTTCAGAAAAGTTACTAGCGTTGTGAAGAAACTTTCTAGAAGACCTATACGGACGACTGCTCACTCTCTCCCCACTGCCAAGGGGCTGATGCCACGGGATATTACGCCAATTTTCCACGGCAACTTGGTTTATGTAGCAGATAGTAGTACTTAAAGAATGACATACTGTTTTTGGTTGCGCTTCACGTGGAGTTTACCTGGTCGATGTGTGTAACCGGGTGCAGGTCAAGGTCTGCGGTGAAAGGACGAGCGATCTCCACGTTGAGCTGAACGCTGGCCTCCCCCTCGCCGCAATCCAATGACGACGAGCTATCAAACAATGTCATTGTAGTAAACAGTTAACGAGGGAATTAAAAATAGGCAAAGGTTTGTTATTTTATTGCAACATTTTTTGATAGTCAAGTTAAATACTGTCTTGTCTGTGATAACTATACATATTGTGGAACAAAGTCTGGAGTTGGAAGAGAGACTGGGAGTTACCGTCGTGGTATGCCATTGAATCAAAACGAAAAAGAGATTTGGTTAAAGAAAAGGTTTTAATAAAATGCCTAAAACATTGTTTTTAATGTTTTCTATTAGGAGAATCTATATTCCGGTTAGATAACATAAAGTAAGTATTTGGATAGCGAATTAGCCGAGTTGTTTTGTTTAGTGCTCAAAAATAACGAGAATGTGTTACCTAGCGTGAGGCAACTGGTCGTCCTGCAGTAACGGCAGCTCATCGTCTCGCGAGTGGGCATGGCACTCACAGCGACAGTGCTCAGGCTCCACGTAGCTGAACACCACGCCTGCACTGGCCCCGCTCGCCGCTGCCGCCGGCAATGTCTGGATTCGCTTTGGCTGTTTTCGTCTCTCCGGTACCTCCTCGAAGTCGATCCATTCAGTTTTTGGACGAGTCTCTGTAATCGTAGGCGTCGAATTAGGAAATCAACACATTATTAGTCGAATAGTAGGTAATGTTGTTACTGATGTCTACAGGTGATCGTAGTTAACGAACTGCTGTCAGTGGTACAATTCGTTTCGATAATTTTTCTTCCTTAGGTACGAACACAACAGGAAGCCTCGTACTAACGTAGAGAAACACTGCTCTTATCGAAAATGATTTAGAAAAACTGAGTCGATCGTGTGACCGTCACATAGCGGAGATGACTGTAATTATATTAGTCAGTACAAAAAAAAAATACAACTCACTGTATTTTTACAACACCAAAAAAAAATGACATTAAATATTACCGTCTCCACCGCTGCGCGTACGCACTCGGTCGATGCGCGGTGCTGGTGTCGTCGCAACGGACGCGACTGAAGCCGTGCGCGTACGCCGGGGCAGGCGGATGCGCATCCGCTCCGGGGGCGCCGGAGCAGAGATGATGGCGGGGCTAGCAGCCGCAGGCCGGGACACGCGCGGCGCGTGCGCAGTGGGTGCGGGCGGAGGCGGAGCGGGTACAGCGGCCCGCGGTCGCTCGAGGGCTGCGAGTAGTACGCCACCGCGATCGCGCACCGGCACCATTGGCAACGCCACCGAGCGCTCCTGCGGCAGGGTGGTGGGCACGTAAGGCAATTCCTCCTCGAACGATTCCTGCACTACCAGTCCACGTCGCTCTACGTCGTTACCGCCGCGCGGTGGAGCCGATTCAGAGCTCGGTTCCGACTCAGAAGAGTCACGTACTTCCTGCGGCGACGGTGGTGTAGCCGCGCACGCTGGGAGGGAGGTCGTCCCACCGTCGTTCTTTTCTGATGCCGGGGGAGCGCCGTTGACGACTGCCGCGTCTAGCGCTACTGGTCCTCTCGTTTCGTCGGGATCGACGAAGCTCGGAAAAGAGCCGGATATCTCGCTCGTGACGCTCGGTGTTTTCGTTATACTAAATTGTGTGCTGAAAACTTGCTCTCGGCTGCCCACGTGAGTTGTGAAAATAATTCTCTCTTTCCGCCTGCGTCGACCATCATCGACGGTGGGTGCGCTCTCGACGTGTTCCAGGTTAGGCGCCACTTCTGGGTTGCAATCGAGGGGGCGAGAGCTTATTGCGGAAACGACACCTGCACTGGCGGCGCTTGCGGCGCTCGCAGCCTGAGGTTCCGATTCTACTTCAGCCGTTTTTTGGACGGACGGGTTTACCGTTACACTCTCCGGTGATATCGACGGTCGATCCTCGAATGAACGCTCTGTGGGCGACCGGAGCGGTATAATGATGCTTCCGTCGGGGAGGACGGTTCGATGTATAGGCTTTTGAGTAGAAAAAGGTACTGCGTCGCGGTCGAGCGGGGTACGGGTATGCGGCGCAGAGGCAGGTCGTTGTGTCTCACGGTGTATCGGCGGCTCCGCTTTGGCACACTGCTGTTCTTGGTCACGCCGCGCACTAGTCGAACCTGGTTCCTCGTCTGGGGGAGTCCTCAAAGGGATGTGGATTATCCCATCTCTGGTATCGTCGTAATATTTAAGTTTTTCACCGGGGCGTTGAGAAGCAGGGGGTTGTGTGACGACAGCTATTGCTCGTTGCTGATGAACTACCGGAGACCCATCCCTAGAGCTAGGCGAAGGTGATGTGGCGCTCTTACGGGACGTTTTGAATAGTGAGAGTACTGAGCCCCTAATCTTACCACTAGAGGAAGGGGTCGCAGACCGGTCGCGGCTCTTACTGCGAGATCTACCTTCAGTGAGACTCCTTTTTCGACGAAGCGCTTCTGATGGTGAATCCGGTGATGCGATCGTCTCGCGCGACTTAAACAGTGAGCAGAACGATGACTTGCGGGACACCGGTACTCCCGCTGGTGACGGCGTGCGACTGTCCCGTGGTACTCGGTTCTGTGGAGCGGGGCTGAGAGGCGCGGGCTCCGAATGCCCTACGAGCTCAGTAGGGCGCACAGCTCTATCGTTAATAACCGCTAACTCTAGTGACGCGGGCTTTCTCGCCGTTTCTTCGCTATCTGAGACGATCGGTTTCTGGCTAGTCACATCTTCCTCCGTGTCATCATACTGGTCATCGGGCTTCAATTTGATGCGGATTATATCTTTCGAACGATTTCTACTCTTGTAGACTTCGGGCTCGGACGGCTCTCTGCGGACGCGAGGCCTCGCTCGTCGCTCTTGCGCCCGGACTCGGTTCTGGTTTTCTTTTTGTAACTTGTCATCGACAGATGCCACCGGCGTTATGATTACGGCAGTCACGGGTTGATGATTAACCTGTGAGGTAGGGGGGCTGGTCGGCGCCACCGGCGTCGGTGGAACGATTGCAGGGGTCGGCAGTGGAGATGGAGGCGGAGGACGCGAAGCGCGTTCCACTGTGGCCTCAGTGCGCACTTCGCGTCGGTCTCGCGCATCCACCGGTGCGGGTACGGAATCCGGGGGTGAATTGGCACTCAGTTTTGCGATTTCAAGTAAACGCTCTTCGACGTCGGCGGCACAAATCTCAGGGTCATTCTCGATGGGTTTAGGTCCACAGAAGGAAGTCTCGAGCAGCATCCTATGCGGCGAAGGCGACCGAGATACGCCCGATACTATAGACAAACGGGATATGTGCGACGCGTGGCTGAGCGCCGAAAGCGCCGAGTGCGCCGAGCACTGTGAGCCGACACTAGATAGACGACTGGTACGGCCGGACACGGCTAGTAACGCCGCTTCGGAGCCTTGGCTGTCTTTTCGAGAGTGGCGACGTAAAATGGATGGCGGAGGCGGCGCACTCGGCCGCGGTTCTCCAGGGGCACCTTCCAAGAAGGCGAGCTCCTCGGTAGACGATCTCAACTCGAGTGCGCCGTCCTCGCGGAAACCCAGATCGAGCCGGGTTCTCGAATCCTCTCCGGCGCCCGCGAACAAGGCGAGCTCAGGGGAGCTGTCGCGCGAGTCGTGATGACTGGAACTAGAGGCGCGCGAGATGTCAATGCGCGGGGCAGGCGGCGCGCCCAGGGCGCCCGCCGCCGCCACTGCGGGGCTCGAGTGCGAGCGCTGGCGTTGCTCCGGAGGCGCTAGTGACGTCGAGCTCACGGGATCCTCTCGGATCTCAGGTAACCGAAAGGCCTGCTTCGTCTCGGGACTCGACTGTGAACACGAAAAGGGTAGCGATCGGCGATAGATTTAAACGGTCCAGTGTACAGGTGAAAAGTGATGAGCGAAGAGAGAAGGTTAGGATACGTACTGGCCTCACCTCGTCAGAGCCGTCGTGGTCAAAGGAAGCGATGGGCGCGGGACCGCGGCGCAGCTGGCGCACCGACGCGCCGCTGGCCGCCATCCGCCGAGCCGCGCCACACCACGCCGCGCCTACTGCTGCCGCCCGGGCATTGCGGCCTCCTTCTACCGCACCACGCTACCTACTGTACCACAACATAACGTTCTCTTAGTACACACCTCACATTGCACGAGTTAAACGGTCTTTCGATCACTGTTATAGTAGTTATTTTGGTCTAGAAAATCGATTTCGTTTTACCACTTGCACTGAATGTATAACTCGTAAGTTGTGGTCCTATCGCGATATGTATGATTTAATACTCAAATTCTCATCAACATAACTAACTTCACTGTTTCATTTTATTAGCACTAGATTGTTGAAAAACGCCAAAGTGTATGTTGTAGAAAGACTGCCTAGTTGACTGTCTCTGTTTCTTCTCGTGATATACAATAAGACATGCGACTAAAATTATATACGTATATCTCGTGATTACAATTATTTATCTGGCTGCACTAGTTTGTAGTGGTGCCAGAACACTGCACGACAGGTAAGTAACTACTTATGTATCATGCGCGGATTTATATAAATTAACAAATATGTTCGCGATGAGGTTACTATATGCTCTTTCCCCGTGCGCTATGTCGGACGTGGCAGAGGGCCAGCGGGTACGAGCGCGCCGAGCCGATGGTGGCGGCGCTGGTGGTGGCGGGGGCGGGGGCCGGCTGTACCTGGCTCTCGTCGCGCTCGGCGTCGTGTGCTCCTCCGTCGAGGCGCGCGCCACCCTCGCCCCAGCGCACTGCGCATGCGTGCGCTCGGTGCACATGCGCCCGTGCTCGAGTGGGGCTTTCGCTTCCTCCGCGCATCACAAGTAGCGCGCGATATGCATCGTGCATTGACTTGCGTCACTTTCGATGGCTACATGAACGTAACAATAGATTACCTGGCCGTCAGCCGCGCGATCTGTTGCACCAGGGCCGCGAGGGCGAGCGCTCGACGCGAGCTCCGTGCGCCGCACTCGGCGCGTCGCTCCGGCAGGACGGGTTGTCGTTTCTAGCGACTTACTGTAGTTAGATCGATTCTAATATTCGACCCCTCGTGTCAACGTACGATTGACATGAATTTGCCATGAATTTGGTACGTGACATCACGCCGCGTGTTGTTGTAGCTTCGTGGCGCACGTACTTGTTCTACTTACACGTCAAACAGTGTATATGTACGTGTAGGCCAATATCTGTTAAGTGTTTCCTCGTTCCAGCTTTCAGCGCACCCAAAACACTAAATTGTTTAGCCAATTCACACGGATTTTAATATAATATGTTATTTACAGCATGCATATTATATACTAAGTATTATATACTAAACTTAAGTAAACGCGTAATACGCGTTCTTAAACTGTATTAATCAGATTTCAATTAAATTTTGGTAGAATCCTTTATGGTATCTGCCCAAAACTACCTGCCCAAAATATAAGTATAAATAAATGTTTATATGTTTTTCCTTTATTTATTACTAGCTGACCCGCGCTACTTCGTCTGCTTCTCTCAATAGTAATAAATTTTCTCCGTTTTTGAAACATTCTTCATTGGTGCTCCGCTCCTATTGGTCTTAGCGTAATGATATATAGCCTATAGCCTTCCTCGATAAATGGGCTATCTAACACTGAAAGAATTTTTTAAATAGGACCAGTAGTTCCTGAGATTAGCGCGTTCAAACAAACAAACAAACTCTTCAGCTTTATAATATTACTAGCTGACCCGCGCAACTTCGTCTGCGTCTCTCAATAGTAATAAATTTTCTCCGTTTCTGAAATATTCTTCATTGGTGCTCCGCTCCTATTGGTCTTAGCGTGATGATATATAGCCTATAGCCATCCTCGATAAATGGGCTATCTAACACTGAAAGAATTTTTCAAATCGGACCAGTAGTTCCTGAGATTAGCGCGTTCAAACAAACAAACAAACAAACAAACAAACTCTTCAGCTTTATAATATTAGTATAGATATAGATTAATATGTTTAGAAATAAAATTTAAATGAAGTAACACTACGAACATTTTGCGAGCATGCACCAGCACTCATGCACAACACACGACGTGATTGCATTACCGTGCTGCTTGCTGGCACAGCGTCTTCATGTTAATTACCAATTGACTCAACACTACCTACATTATTGTATCGTCCTACCTTACGTACTTAACTAAAATAATTTGTCGGATGTAATTTTCAGTAAGTGACGGATTAAGATACGGAGTGTCACCGCCGCTATTCATCCTGTGGGTGTCGTAAGAGTCGATTAAGGGAGCCAATTACGCAGGACAACAGCACTGTAAAGAGAAGGAACACTGGAAACAAACCCTATACCAACCCGTCTGGCCAGTGTGGTATAGTAGGCCAAAACCTCCTTTCTAAGGAGAGGCCTATGTCCAGCAATGGACTATTAAAGGCTGTTGATGATGATGATGATGAATTCTCAGTACATCGGAATTTAATAGTAACAGATCAAAAAGGTAGATAAGAGCTAACTACATTATGTTTTATACCAGGTATTTTTACGCCTCGTAGTGATTTTATGCTTATAAATAGTTAGCTACATTAAAAACTGTTTTTCTGCCCTGCCATTTTAATACGGAATGTCGTCTCGGTATTTTGAGAAACGCGTATAAAGCGTACAATAACAAACGCAAACAAAACAGATAACAAACAATGTGATCGGAATTGATTGCAATTGTAACAATGTGATTTTGTGCTTGTAATTTTTATTGCTAACGCTCGAAATATAGAACTTTCGAGGTTAAATTCGCCTAACGTGGATGACGACGACGTGCCTGACGGTCACTGGGGTGGAACTAAGGGTGGCGGTGTTACGGCTTAAAGCTAAAAACACCGCCCCGGGACCCGATGGCATTCCTGGCCGAGCGTGGGTCCTGGCCTTAGTCGACGAGGCTCTCGAGCCCCGACTGCGAGGGTTCTTCAGCGCATGCCTCGAGCGGGGCCAGTTTCCGAAATAGTGGAAGACGGGGAAACTCACCGTCCGCCTACCGGCCCATAGTGTTGCTTGACGAGGTGTGCAAGCTCTTTAAAAGAGTGATTGCAAGGCGCCTCGTCAAGCATCACGTGATGGTGGGGCCGGATGTGGCGGACAACCAGTACGGTTTCCGTCAGGGGCGCTCCACCGTGGATGCGATCATGCGCGTGAAGGCTCTGGCGGAGGAAGCAGTTTCCCGGGGCGAAGTGGTGTTGGCGGTGTGACATCGCCAACGCATTCAACACTCTGCCCTGGAGCTGCATCAGGGAGGCGCTCGTGTATCACGAAGTGCCTCTCTACCTCCGCCGCATAGTCGGGGCATATTTGTCAGAGAGAGCCATCGTCTACCCCAGTAGTACCGGTCTCGGTAGGCGTGGGACTGGGTGCTTCGTGGTGCCTTCTTGGATGGTGTCGCCGTCGTGTGCTACACGGACGACACGCTCGTGACGGCGCGCGGCAAAACGCACCACGAGGCAACGGCCACGGCCACGGCCACGGCCGGGGTTGCCCAAGTCGTTGAGCGAATCCGGCGGCTGGGTCTCGAGGTGGCTCTGCACAAGTCCGAGGTGATATCCGAGGGGACTTCCGCACGGAAAAAAAAGGGGAAATGTAAACAAGAATAAATTCTTAGAATATTTTGAATCATTGTTAAAGTTAGATGTAAATAAACCCGAGACGGCGTGCGGTTTTAGTCGGTTCGAGTCCGACATGCTACCGACAGGTGATATCCGAGGGGACTTCCGCACGGAAAAAAAAGGGGAAATGTAAACAAGAATAAATTCTTAGAATATTTTGAATCATTGTTAAAGTTAGATGTAAATAAAATAGTATTGTTTACACTTCCTCTTAGTAAAAGGTTTTCGCAGAAGGAAAAAATGTTAGACATAATTTAAATAAATAATAAATTGACCCTATTGCAATAAATTACATCTAATCGACACTAACAAGCTTGTTAGTAATAATATTTTATTAACAAAAGGTAGACATTACCTTTCTAATTATTATAAGAGGCAGATAGCAATTTCGCTATCATATTACTTTTCTATTACATCTGAGATCTTGGCTAAAACGTTTGCTTCTATTGAGCAAATTGACATCACCCATAGTGACTTTACCAATCCGATGGCAGATAATTCTTTTGACATTTATTTAAATTTAAATTACATATCTGATAAGTTACCTAATAATGTGATTGACATTTCAAATAATTTAAATTTACTGATAAGAGAATAGAGACTACCTCTTGCACTATTGATTTCAACACTAATAGAAAGTTCAATCATAGTAAATTCATTAAAAATCATAAGATAAATAATATAAATTTGGTGCATCAAAACATCGGAGGAATGATGGACAAAGACTTAAAGGTGGAACTGTTCATGAACTGCAATGCGATTGATATTTTTGTAATACTGAACATTGGCTAAAACAGCAGTTCATATTCAATTTTAATCGTCACCAGGTAGGCAGCTCGGTCAGCAGAAGTACCGCAATACATGGTGGCACTATGATACTCATTAATAAGCAACATAAGTTTAAAGAGCGCCATGATATTGTTAGTTTATCGGTTGAGCGAACTACAGAAATAACCTGTATAGAACTAAAAGGTTTCATAGCAGTATGTGTATACAGACCTCCTTCAGTTCCTCCTCCTCCTTATGTATGGCTGGTTCGAACGTGTTATGGGTGAAGTATTAGTTAAAGTAACAAGATCAAAAAAGACAGTCAACATCTGCGGTTACTTCAATATTAACCTATTAGAAAATCAAGTATAGTAACCAGGTTTAAGGCACTCTTATAATCATACAATCTGAAGAACTTGTTCTTGGAGCCTACACGAATCACTGCAACCACTGCCGCATGTTCGGACAATATATTTACAGACATTGTAATTAAGGATAAGATAATAATCAGTCATTTACATTCTGACCACTGTGGTCAATTAGTATCTCTTTATGATAGGTATGAAAAGGTGGCAGAAAAGGAATAGGCTTGTGTCCACTAATAACAAATTGCTTGGTTTATAGTTTCAAATTATAAATGAAGAGACATAGATAAAAAAAAACAGTCTATTTCTCATAAAAGGTAAAGATTAATAATATTTTTTTTTAAATAAATGCGAACAAAATACGTATATATAAAATAGGTATCACTTGACAGCTACTATTTAGACTAAAACGGACACTAATTTCACAGACGTATACAGCGCCATTTCGAAAGTGGTTCATTGGCTTGACGTCAACAATTTGCTTTTAAATGAACAAAAAACGAAGTGTATACGTTTCACTATGCCAAACGTCAAGCCAGTGAAAACTACTGCGATGATTAAGAATGTCGAATTAGACCTTGTGGATACTACGACATTTTCAGATATAACACTATATATTGATAAATTATCGAGTAGACTCAGCTCAGCAGCATACACAGTAAGAAAGATTCGAGAGTTGACTGATGTTGATACAGCACGACTTGTTTACTTTAGTTATTTTCATAGCATAAAAGGAAGATGGAGGAATGCTACCGACATTCAAATTTTTTTGTACTGCAAAAGAGAGTGACTCGAGCACTTCATAATTTAGGCAATAATTAATATATGTATTAAAGGCGCAAGAAAGTAAAAAAAAAGGCAATAGGCAATTGTTTTTCATTGAGGCAGAAATTTGAATAAATAAACATACCAACTGTGGTATGTCAATATACATACAGGATTTTCCAACAAGAGGTGTTATTTTGAATCACCCGGTATTTCGGTAGCTGTCACATTTGAAGCTTTTATTTTTTGACATTTGACAAGTAGAAACTACGCCATTACTAAAAATGGAACGATACACACTTTAACAACACATTGAAATTATTAAAATTCACTACAAAAATTGTGAAAATCTTGCAGTCACAGTTCGCAAAACTAAAGCATTTTTTGGTCGTCGTGAAGCACCTTGTCGGACCGCAATACAGAAATTGGTGAAAAAATTCGAGCTGTTGGGACAAGTTAGTGATGTGGAGAATAAAACCCGTGCACGTCGCTCAAGAACAACTGAGAATATTGCTGCTGTAGCCCAAAGTGTTGAAGAAAACGCAGGTTTGTCCATTCCTCGTCGTTCTTTCGAATTGGGCATTCCACAAACGTCATTACACCGTATTTTGCATAAAGACTTGGGTCTTAAGGCTTATAAAGTTCAGTTAACACAAGAACTCAAGCCGACCGATCATCAACAACGTCGTGTCTTTGCTGATTGGGTACTTGAAATGCATGAAAATGATCCGGAATTCGTTCGAAAAATCATCTTGACTGATGAGGCCCATTTCCACCTAGGAGGCTACGTCAACAAGCAAAATTGTCGCATCTGGGGCTCGGAAAACCAAAGAGTTATTTTTGAGAAGCCTCTCCATCCTCAACGTGTGACTGTTTGGTGCGGTTTATGGTCCGGCGGGGTCATTGGACCTTACTTTTTAAAAAATGAGGTTGGATGAACACTTACGGTGAATGGATTGCGCTATCGAGATATGATTAATGATTTTTTATAGCCGGAGTTGGATGGTATTGATCTGGACAACGTTTACTTTCAACAAGACGGCGCCGTGCCACACAAGCAACGAAACCATTGCTCTTTTACGGGAAAAGTTTCCTGACCGTGTTATCTCTCGACGAGGTGATCACAATTGGCCACCGAGATCTTGTGATTTAATACCTTGCGACTTCTTCCTTTGGGGCCACGTGAAAGATAAGGTCTACGCCAACAGCGCAGCGTCGATTCAAGACCTCAAAGATGGAATTCGTGAAGCTATCGAGGACATAGGGCAGCCACTTTGCGATTTGGTTATGCAAAATTTCATTAAAAGGATATGGCCCTGTAAGCGTGGTCGTGGTAGCCATTTGGCTGATGTTATCTTCCATTATTAACGGCATACCTTCCTCTTTATTATAAAATATACAGCCGATTATTTATCTTAAAAAATTGCATTTTTCTTTGAATACTAAAATAACACCTCTTATTGGAAAACCCTTTATATCTATTAAAATGTAATATATGTTCATAAAAACAAGGATAGCTTTTTGAAAAAAGTGATGTACATTCTATAAATACCAGAAATATAAATAAACTTGTGGTACCTGCCTCTAGGCTCCAAAAGATAAACAAGTCCTTTCGAGGTGAATGTGTAAGATTTTATAATAAAATCCCAAATAATATTCAATACTTAAGTATTAACAAACTTAAATCCACAATAAAACGTAAATTATGTCAGAAAGCCTATTATTCAGTTGTGGATTACACAGAAGACAAAAATGCTTATGATTAATTTAGCGCAGGCTATTTCTTAAGTGGAAATGTAATTTTTTTTTTTTAAAAAGAAAAAAATTTTATGTTTCAGTTCCCTTTCTCTTTTATTTGATATTTTTTCTTAATCGCATAATATTTTTCTCTTTATAGTCTTTTTACTTTTTTAGTCCTCAATAACGGACATACTGGCACACATCAAAACAAAATTATGGTATATTTAATGACGCCATTGTATCTATCTGTAAATTGCAAGATTGGCCATGAGTTTGTTTGCCCTTTCTTCTCATGAGGCTCAACCGCTTGGGAACACCCGTTCCCAAGCGGTTGAGCTTGGAGATCGGCACATGCATATCATAGATTTTGTATTAGTATAATTTATATTAAATTTATTTTGATAACTATTCGACAAAACAGAGATTGTTGCCATTGTGTGAGTGTTGATCTACGACTTTAGAGTGTACATAAAAGACGATATTTTTTTATGAAATAAAGATATTTTGAGTTTGGTTCTTAACGTTCTATTAACGTTATAACTAGATCCTTGTGCACAATCATTAAGTATTAGGATCTAATAACCTTATTTTACGTTTAGGTACATGTATATCCTCTGAATGGTATATTTTTTGCAGCCCTGGGGAGCTGCAAATTTTTATCTTAAATTTTGAAATCTAGAAAATAGCCAAAATTTGTCGCATCGGAAACTTACATGTTTTCGCAGTTTATTGACACACTACTTTCATTTATACAAACACAATTACCTCACGTCATACACTAATTTTTTAACCTTTTTATTTTCTTCTATGTCTAAAGGATAAAACAGAGACAGTTTTCGTAATGGTTGGATGCAAAAAATTTACTTACCAAATAATGAAATTCGAACTTTTGCCGCTGGGACAACGGACTCCACTTCACGCAGTTACACGCGCGCGACTGATCCGTATTTCATACCTTTCTACTGGGTGCAGTTACTAATTACGGCATCCGAGGAAACCCAAGTATATTTATTTCTGATAGGTCCGTGTGGTGACGGATTAAGAATACGGATTATCACCACCCCCAATCATCGCCTGGGTGTCGTAAAAGCCGACTAAGGGAGCAAACTACACCGGACCTATAAGTTGTAAGCAAACTACACCGGACGACAGTACTGCAAAGAGAAGGAAAACTTGACACAAACCCTATACCAACCCGTCGGGCCAGCGTGGTACAGTAGGCCAAAGCTTCCTTTCTAAGGAGAGGCCTATGTCCAGCAGTGGACTATTAAAGGCTGTTGATGATGATGATTGATGAGGTACACTTATATATTACTGCCATTACACGTTACAACTTACAAGTACAAGAAACATTTAAAGTGCCCCACCATACCCCATCTCGGCTACCTGCACCTAGGTACTGGAAGCAAATCTATTTAAGATATTATGTGCCTTATTAAGAAAAGTTTCGATTAACAAACGCGTTACTATTCATGGCTAAAAATTTCTGATTTAACAGGCCCATTTTAAGCTTCACTTTAGAAATGCATAGTAATAGTAATTAAATAAAAAATAGTAAAAAATATTACCTAATTGTGTTTAACTATACATTGAACTCTACTAACTACATATTTAGATGCTTTGTATAAAGCAGTCAACGAGCCTTGTGCTTACTGTCCCTTTGTCTTTTGTGCCCAAAACATTTGTGTTTAACGTAGAGCTAATATTAACGCACCTCTATGGTTGAGGTTGACATACATAGCTCACCCGCATCACACTTAATCCTGCAGTACCTGGGCATCGAGAAGGGGTGACCTTTTGTAATAAATACACATGATCATATTTAAACTTTATTCTCAACAGAACATAGGGGTCGCGACGCAAGTCAGTACTGGGTACGTGTAACACTTTCCAAACAGCGGCAGCGGTTAGAACAATCACTCTTAATGTATACATATACATATGTCGCCTTGAGTATAGTGACAGACATACGGAGTACATAAATAAACATTTCATTTTACTTTATACAAGCAGCGAGCCACTCTGCTGCCGGGACCAAATACACACCGAGTCTCCCACACGGTGCCCCTCCACTCCTCCCCGCGATTATACTATAATATCGTTATTTAACTAGTGAATCATAAACATAGATCACAATATACATAGAAATGGTCTAACAGCGTAACACCTAACTACTCTGTTACATTTTGCGATTAATACCTTAATATCATGGGTTTAGCTAGAACTCCTCAAAGTTCATGAGATATAATATAGTACCTAAATATAATAGAATATCTCTTATATATTATTGCATTTCTTCTAAACATAATGAGATCAATATCGTTAAATGTAAACAAGTATCGATAATAGTGAAGCGGTAACGGTAGCGCGCACATCTACACACAGAACTAGGAAGAGATGCTACCGCCTGTGACGGGTACCGACCGACTGGGGCTGGTGCTCGCCGTGCCTGCCGCGGCCTCCACCTTGGACGCACACGCTATGTTTATAACGCTATATAGATATTATTGCTTAAGGTCTAAAAAGTTAAGTTCTTACGCTTCAACGATAAATGTCAATAGAGGCAGCCTGCGAGCTCGCCACCATTGCAAAGAGTGCGTGCTTGCCACGCGGGCACGCCGCACTGTAAATACATACCTATAATGGTGATGACGGGGTTACGTCCTAAGCCAGTCGTTTACGACCACACTCTAAGCGATCACTTTATCACATTATATACACGTTAGATATGAATATTACTTATGACTTCATGATTATAACGATTATCCTCTCGATGTCGATACTACTACTACCCTTCTCTTTCTTCAGCTCAAAGGAATAGATATGAACGCTTATGAGTAATTTACAATACCTACGATAGAATATCATTTTTGTAAATATAATATAAAAATTATATTTTGCGGTTCGTTCTCTGCCGCGAAGTTAGACACGATTGAGAGCGTGAGCTTAATTAGTGGTTGCCATTACATATCGATGTCCTCGTCCTCCAAAGTGAAGGTTACTTCGTATACATCCACTAAACGCCTCAGCCGACTGAAGTCGTCAATGTTGATAGCGACTCGGAAGACGTTCAAGTCGCCGCCTACAGGTGTACTCCTCTAGTCCGAATCTGAGTCGGAGGAGGGAGGCTGCGGGGCGGCAGGGGTGGGCGCGGGGCTGGGCTCGGCGGAGGGGGGCTTTTCGCGCGACGTGGCCAGCGCGTAGGCCGGCGCAGACTGACCCGACGTGCGCTCGATGCCCACTCTGAAATCATATAATAGGTATGTTTATTTCCAAAGGAACTCGCCCGTAACATTCGCAATACACCTACAATTTCCTGTACTTTCAGGTAGTTCAGGTCAATATTGCTGTACTCAGTATGAGGAGATATTCTAATGTTTTTGAAGTACGTTAGTTCGGCCCGCTAATAAGTTAGTTATACTCACGTGTACTCGTGCCTGGCGAGGTACCGCACGTACTTCTCAGGTGGATCCCCGTCGTGGTCCTGCAGCGAGACGGAGCGGACGGTCATGTGGCTGACCTGGGTCGCCGGCATCGTGAACTCCACGTAGGCATTCTTCGCTAGCTCCGCCGGGATCTGGTCGTATGATGTCAGCGCCATACGACACACCAGGTTGTGCGTCGTGTACGCACCTGCACACACACATATACGTATTTATAAGAAGCTTGTCACCTAAACTACCAAAACACACGAAAATTTGTTAGAAAAATACAAGTTGTGTGTAACTGACCCTGTCCCTCCTTTGGCAGCCTCGGCATGCGCCACACGATTGCCCGATGCTGGTGTTCGTATTTCGCTTGTCCTGAAGTCACTTCGATCAGCGATTCCTGTAGGGTATCCACTGCACCCAGGAAACGCTCAATACCCTTTATTTTGCCAGTACGTCTGTAAAGAACAACCGACGTAACATTAACATTGAATAATCGGTACAATAACACTTACAATGCTCATTTGGATTCAAAGAAAAAATCTGTGCTACTTTGGCGCCCAACGTGAGGCCAACACAGAGTTCTATTTTTGGGTATTATGTATATTGGTTGAGTGTTAATCGGTCAGTTACTACAAAATGGACTAAAATAGCTGTATACAATAACTTTAGACAATAGTAAGTTAATTAAACTCACCTGTGAGCCGATTTAACGGATCCATATCGGAAGTGCTTTTCTACACGAAACAAATAGATCCAGCACTCTGGAATGGGGAAGCGAATGCATACGTCTTCACACGGCACTTGGCCCAACTTCCGAGATGCGAACCCTGGGACCAGCACATCAGCTCGCAGCTCCACCTGGAATGCACGTAGTTGTCATCACGTTGTACATACTTGTAGTGTTAGAATAAAGTAGAATTCCTTTCTCACCTTGTTGCCGGTGACGCACCAGACCGCTTTGAGCTGTAGCGGCAGTTCGCGATTCTTGGGTGGGCGGACGCGGAACCGCATTAGCTCGATGTAACACGCGTCAGGAGGCTTGAACCTGACACATTGTGCATAGTAAGTTACTTTTGTATGTATTACCTAGCCAAACTGCCTCAAAGTTGTTGATAAGTAACTAGTTAATGCTGGAAGAAAAGAAAAGCTCAAGTGGTTACCCATCCGCCTATTCTATTTAATCCTCAAATCACGGTTTACCTTCTTTCATGACACACTTCCTAAACTGTCGAGATCTGAAAAATGCCTGGACATTCCACTAAATTTCTCGGCCACTCCTCTGTTCAAGCGGTTTGGTTGTGGAACTGGAACGCCCTACTTTAGGTCGCCCCATCAACAGCCTTTACTAATCCACTGCTGGACATAAGCCTCTCCTTAGAAAGGAGGTTTTGGCCTACTATACCACGCTGGCCAGACGGGTTGGTATAGGATTTATGTCTAGTATGATATATTTATATGTCTAATATGGTATAGTTTGGACAGCCGCGAGGGGGCGGCGTCCGCGTGTGCCGGACGTCGCCTAAAGAGAGGAAAATTTTGAGACGGAGCCCGCAACAGGAGCGGACCGGCGCTAGGAGGGGTCCGGATGTCTTAATAACAGCTGTTCCCGGATCCCTCCTATTACAGGCGCAGAGTGGCACACCGTGTGGCTTTAGTCGGTTCGATTCCTACACACCACCCCGCCGCAAACCCCGGTGGGGTGACGGTCCGAGGGGATTTCCACACGTTAAAAAAAAAGGGTTTATGTCTAGTTTTTCTTCTCTTTGCAGTGCTGGTGTTCTGCGTAGTTTTTTCCCTTAGGTTGCCTACCTTAAAGAAACTAGTTAAAGAACATTGCCTTGGAGTAATTTACTTTCGACTAAGTCAATAAGGTTACAGTATTCCTTAAAATATATCGTCATAGTCGTACGAGTAGAATAGAGTCGGATCTGACATTTATTGAACTTTACAGGGCAGCCATTACAAATAATTATGTGGATTTTTTGACATAACTTTTATAATTCTAAATTTGTAATTATGAAAATTGGCAAACAAGTGAAAAATAGGGTTTGTTTTCGCCTTTCAGCCAAACAATGGATAATTTGAAATCTAAAATACGTATATTTCTTTCTTGAATGTAGTAATAATATTTAGACAACGTAGTGTCATCATACATCAAAAGCGACATTATTCTACGATCATGACGATATGTATATACTATTCATAAATCTATATATAAGTGGCGTGCAATGGGAGAGGCCTATGTCCAGCAGTGGACTGCGATAGGCTGATGATGATTCATAAATCTCACACTATATTTTAATTAATATTTTTAAAATATACAAAAATAATAGATATATTTAATAAAATATACATATGAATATAGGTAATATACAGGGTTACTTGTTAAATCGACCTAGATACTTTAAGGAGTGGTAGTTGCTATCATTTCTTATAGATTTCACATTTTCAAGATATTGGACTTTTAAGTTTTTTTATAAAAATTGTTGAAATTTTGCCTGATACCATTTTTATAGAACTTATGTCCTATATTTTATGTTTTTTTACTGTTTTTTTGTGTAGTTGATGAATTATTTAATAATTATAATTTTAATAACTAAAGTTGTAGTTAATTTAACAAACTGGGTCCAATGAGATGGTTAATAATAGCAAAAAGGAATACATTTGTGTTTTTTTTTTCTTTGACGGGTAATATAAAATTTTCTATGACAGCTAAACTGCTAATTTGTTAAAAACATGTGCGTATTCTCAGCTATCTAACAATGTATAAAAGTGTAGGATAATATCAGAAATCCTAGAAAAAAACTTATATGAAAGACCAGGAGTGTTAAGAATTAGCGTACAACCCGGTAGTGATTACTAATTGAAAACTAATTGAAAACTTGGCTTGTTTCAGGTTCACCATACCGTACATATTTTTTAACAAATGTGCAGTTCAACTGTCAAAGATTTTTTAATATTTATTGTAAAAAAAAAAACATACAAACTTATTTCTTTTTGCAATTATTAAGGTAAGTTAACTACAATTTTAGTCATTGTAATTATATTTAAAATAAAGGATATTGTTGAAACATGAACATGCTTGCATCACCCAACAACAACATCAGTGTCACAAGCAGTGCGGCGTAAAGCCAATGCATTTCGGCATGAGATGCATAAGGCAGTTGCATCAACACAACACACGGATGGAAAACAAGTAAATAGCTATCCGTTTGGACTTAGAGTAAGATTAGTAGATAAGGTCTAATTTTATGTAAATAAATCAGTAATTTTGTCTAATCCTACTTTAACTCTTTACCCTGGCCCACCTCTCCACCTTTAGCCGTCAGTAGATCGGTCTTGTGAGCCTGCTCGACCGGCAGTGAGAAAATCATCTCCTAAAGCCCGCTCCCTTCTCGTCTCGGGCCGGTAGGTAGGAATTCAGGGATTTAGGTACATAACCTATGTACGAGTATTGAATGGTTCACTATGGTACCCACTCCACTCGTACTTAGGGTGGTCTTAGATAGGCTTTCGGTGTTATACGTACGAGTGCTGACTGGTGTACCTACCACGGTTGCCGGTCCGCATTAATAAATAAGGAACTTCGTTTCAAAAATCTTAAAAGTTAAATAAATTGGTATAAGATATTGGTTAGCTTTACGATATGGTATTTCATAGTGAAATCTATCATAAATGATGACAACTACAACTTCTAAAAGTATCTAGATCAACTTACCCAGTAACCCTGTCCATACATATATTATATTTTAGTTTGATTTCCTCTTCTTATCTATTTCCTAACTCACCAGCCACTACCCTATACCACTTCCCTTTCATGTTTTCTCTCCATACCACGGTTGCCTGTGAGGGATTGCCCCTAAGCGATAAGGCCGCCACTTGTACTTGCCTCACCTAGTTTTAAGTTATTTATTGTATGTACCAGGTGTACAATAAAGCGATTTATTATTATAATAAGAAAAGTACGTATTTACTTAATGATTTGAGTCTTCTCAAACTCCTCAGGCTGAACACACGCGTGAAACTCTGAAATTTCAACGCGAATCCATTCTTCTGTGACGACGGGGATAATGTCGTGACGCCCCACCACCTCCTTGCCCTGACGGCGCAGGTCGTTCACACCCAGCTCCACGTCTGGCATACCTGCCGCATATACAAGATTCTGTCAAGTTTGGTTCAAAATAATTTATTGTTGCAGTTTCGCTTTGATTTGGATTACTGAAGCTTGTACATTACCACTTAGAAAGCCCAAGAAGAAGAGTCTAACGCGCGCGATCTGCTTGATTACAGACCCTTCTGCATCCTGCTCCACGTACAGCTCATCAACTGCAGTTATTTGCACCTGTATGTAAATATGTATTAATATGTTAATTCCCCAGTAATAAGTCGTCAAACCTATCCAATCCCACACAACAGAGTAACTGACTTCTATTAAAGTTTAAATAGAAAAGTAAAACAAAAAACATAAAGTACAAAAATATAATTAATGTGAAGTAAAGAAACAGCAACCTCTTCCATCTTGTAAGTGAGAGCGCGATCGCGGTGCGCGACCAGACGGAACAACGCCTCTTCCACGCAGCAGGAGAACTGCTTTACATCTTCGTATGATAATGAGCCTAACTTGAACAGCTGCGACACCTACAATATAAAACACAATAAACATTAAACATCTCGCCTCGAAATTTTGACTTTCCCCACTGTTTTAAATTATGTGCAATAAGAATATACGCAGAGAATAAAGAGTCCCCTTACCTGTGGCGCATGTTCGACAGGAAGTCCCAGCTTGCGCAAATCGCTTCCAAACTCTTTAACGCCCTGGTAGTCACCTTGTATTGCGTACGCCGCAAACTGTGACAGCTTGTTTGTAATACGTTCCGCCTTCGTCACTTGGCCCGGTCTGTCCAACATGTTTTAAGTTATTAAGTTGTAACAAGATATTTAGTGAATCAAGATACACTGCAACAATATAAGCACCTGACGCCAGGCCGCTCCTTGTAGAAAACATACTGCAGTTTTACGGTGAAGATTTTGCCGAATTGGTCGAACTGCTGCGCGCCGATCTCGGACACGGAGTAGCACGCTTGGAGCGGCAGTTCCTGGAACGGCTCCTTATCCGTCGCCGCGTTGTACAGTTGAACCACAGGATTGTCTCCCTGGTAGCTCAATCGTACGAAGATCTTTTTCCAAAATCTGATTTAACACAGGGTTAAAATTTTATTACTAGATACTTTAACTACACAGGAAACAATTATTTATTTTTCTTTTAAACGTTTTGAATTTAATTTTGTTTAGTAACTAGTTTATAGTTTAGTAATGGGTAGCGAGATTGAATTTGAAAATATAAGAATAATAAGTCGGTTTACAGATTTAGATGAGGAAAGTTGTAACACCTTTTTCAATAGTATAAAACCTTCACCTGATAGGATGAAAAGAAATAACATATATGTACATATGTATTGTATATGTACGGAGAAACGAGTGTAAGTAAGTTATGAAGTATTAACAAACTGAAGTGTTACAATCATACATGAAATGGTTGTTCCTGGTAATATTTAATAATTGTCGTACCTCTGTCCTGTAATCTTTTTCTTGTTGGGCTGTCGCAAATGCATCTCCCAGCCGGGGCCGGTGTACTTAACTCGCGGGAAGTCTTCGAGGGGCATGGACACGTCATCGTCGAAAAGCGGTGTGGGCGGACTTTCCCCGCCGCTTCCGACATCTGTCTCCGTGCGCTCACCTGCACGATGCATGTAACCATCAACATTACAAATGCTTACCGGAGTGAAGCTATGGAAGTCTTGCGTCCATAATTATTAATACACTTACTGAACTGCTCCATTTGTGGCTGTTGCTCAAAGCCATTCTTGTCAAACGGATTGACTCGAGGGGACTCAGGTAGCGCTTGTGGTCGCGGTGGAGGCGCAAGCACTGGTACTGTCGTTTCCTCGCCACTGGTTTCGCTATCTTTCGGTCTAAAAAACAATAAGATCAAATCATTACTAAAACCATATCTACACTCTACATCTTAATAATAACATAATGCTTATTATAATGACGTAGTTTACCTAATGAAGACAGAGAATGTGTCGTCAGTAGACTCCCTGGAACCTTGGTGATCAAGTCGCGGCGTTGCTGCAGGTGGTGGTGGAGCTCCCATATTCAAAAATGGGTCAAACGCTTCTGCCTCAAAACCACTAGCTGCGAGGTCGCCTGTACCGTCATCTCCCCACGCACCTATTTAGTAAAAACAACTTATATACGATTTTCACAGTTACGGTTCCTAGTTCATATGCTAATAAGTTATCCATAACCATTAAAAAAAATTAAGTTCATTCACCTGAATTTAAATTGTTTGCGCTAGTAGCATCGAATTTAGCAGAGAATGCATCAAATGCATCCTGGCCACCAGCAAAGGCATCTTGCATTAGCCCCTCTCCCGGTTCACCCCAACCGGCATCCGTAGCAGTCAAAGGGACACTGTTGTCAAATGCATTCCGCTCCCCAACATTAAACGCGTCAACTTCAGTCGATTCTTTTGAATCTTTGTTGAAAATATTGGTATGAGACTCGTCTATTTTGGTCATTGATATGTCCCCAAATGCCTTATCTGGGTCACTTTCAAAAACATTTTGACTTGGTGACACATAGGTGTCATCAAATAAGTGATTTGTTGGTGCCATAACCACATCGTCTGACTTTACGCCAAACATATCTGTAACGGAATTGGAGAATACATTTAATTCCGACTCAGTTTCAATTGCACTTTCAAAAGGATTTCGTTCTGTATCTTGAGGCTGACTTTCAAACGCATTTTTAGCTTCATCTGCAAAAGGAGACGTATTAGATGGTGCAGGAAGGATATCCGTTTGAGGTTCTGAGCAATCCATCGGCGCTACAACAGTGGTCAACGTTGATTCTTCGGTCGCGTTGAAAGGGCTAGTGCTGGATACAGTAATCTGCTCAGACTTAGGTTCAGTCTGGTTAATAACCATCGGTGATGACGTCGTTACTTCACTTACGAAATTTTGGGAAATTTCGTGACTTGCGTCGATGCACATATCGTCTGTAATATCATCACTAAGAAAATCGATCTGTTTCTTCACTGCCTTAGGCGCTGAATACAAACTCATTATAGCTTCCTTAGTAGGTTTAGCAGATGTGGGTACAGGCGCATCGAACAAGTTTATATCATTTGAGTGGTCGACAGGTGCTGTCGCTCCTGGTGCAACGGGTGGCCGAGGTGGTGGTGGTGGTTGAGGACGTGGCGGAGGAGGTCGCGAAGCTGGCGGAGGGCGTGCAGGTGGTGGCCGCACAGGCTTGTTACGGTTAATGTCAAAGCTCTCCGTCACCACTTCCTCTTGTCGCTCTGGCTCAGAATCAGGCTCTGGCGTAGGGCTCGGTGAGTGGATATCACGGACTGAGACAGGACTTGGCGTTCGGGTTGGTGGAATGCGGTCGAGGAGGTGGGAACTGGTAAACTCCATCTGCCCAGTAACACTTAGTATTAAGTTTTGTGTCTCAGGAGGCAAAGGTCGTGTTGGTGGCTGAGACCCCTGGAGCTCCTCCTCTTCTAAAAAGATATGATCGGTTCTAGTCGATACTAAATCAAGTTCTGTAGGTTTAACCATTCGTTCAGTTTCTGAAGAACTACTGGTAAATATATCTAGGGAATCAGGTGCATCTCTCGTAAATTCCTCAAAGTGTTTGGCTCCGGTAGGCTCAGCACCCCCAAAAATATCAGTAGGTACTGTGTCACCAACAGGAGGGTCGTAGCTGCCACCGAAATCTGAAAATGGATTACTGGCAGCAAAAGGATTATCACCATTGAACTCGGATGGTTCCGTGTCAGTAATCATAAAAGGATTAAGTGCCTCAGTTGTCACTGGAGCACTAGGCTCGGTCATACTTAAAAATGGATTATAAGCCATTTTGTGGCCTTTACTTTCTTTGTGCTTCTTTTATTTGTTTAACTTTTTAACCTAACAGTTCGGACTCTAACAACTTCAGTTCAGTTTTCCCTGGATTAAGATCACCCGCGAATGATGTATCAAACGGATCCAAATCTTGTGGTGGTAACCTAGTAACGTCCGATGGTTCCGGAGTTAGAGCTTTTGGTTGAAAAATATCGTAAGTAGGATCTAAAAAATCGCGATCTTTATCGTCTTCGTTTGATTCTTCGCAAGAAAATTCTGTAGCTAGTAGCTTTAATTCGGTTTTACTTGGAGCGATATTACTCGCGAAAGAAGTATCGAAGGGGTCAACCTGTACAGAAACTCTTTCAGGTTCCGAAGGCGTCAGTACTTTGGTCTTGATGTCAGTTTGAGCACTATGAAGCAAGTCACTGGCTTTTAATTGAATATTACTCAATTGAGAATATTCAGAATGTCTCCTTCTGTTTTGATAATTAAGTTTTTGGTTGAGCTCTTCGTCAGACCGCGTGCGTTTTAAAACTTCGGGCACGGTGTCAGCTGCTTCAGCTTCTTCAATGTCTTCGGTAATGGATAATTCTCGAGTATAGTATGGAGTTAGAGGTTTTGCAGTTTTAATCTTAGAATTCGAATCGATACCTGTATCCGAATCTAGGTCAAAAACAACATTTTTACTAACAGTAAGATTTTCAGGACGAGATGCTCGTCTTTCTGTTTTTTTTGGTTCATCAGCTCTTGGATCAAAATCGGGATCGCTTGGTACCCTATAAACTGGTGAAATAATTGAACTAATCAGCTCTTGTTCTAATAGCTTTAGTTCAACTTTACCCGGTGCGACAATTCGATCAACGATAGTAGTATCAAAAGGATCAAACTCACAACTATTTACATCAATGGGATTTAAAGGCGAATCGCCTAACTGTGTTAAATCAGTAGTGCTTCCACCCAGAAGGTCCTGGACTACTGGAGTTCTCTCTTTGTCAATAATATCATCTGATGTAATAGATTCTCGTAGACCTGAAGGATCTGTAAGATGAATGCGAACTGAAGATTTGCGTCTATTATTTAATCTGAAATATACATCGTCCGCGCGAGGATCAAAATCGTCGTCGTCTTCTAAAATCGCTACTTCTTTTTTAACTTGAATTTGAGATGAAGGAATTACAGCGTCAGCAAAACTTGTATCGAATGGATCATCATCTTCTAGGTATGGGTCATCAATCTGATCTTCAACTATGGAAGCTCCGAACACTGCTTCATGTTTATCTGCTTCAAAAGCGGACCAAGATTCCTGTACAACAGGTTCTAATATTAAATCGTTTTCCACTAATTTTATAACTTCGGAACCAACTTCTAGTGATTTTGTAGCAAGAAGTGTAAACTCGTCAAATTCTTCCTCCGCAGATGGATTTTCAGTATTTATGACATCAGGTGTTGACAAAATTTCTTGATCACTTCTTTTATTTTGTTGTATCAAAGATGTGTGAAGAGATACGCTTAGATCAATGGGTGTTGTAATAGGAATATCAGCGTCAATATCGAGTATACTTTTTTCAACAGGTTCACTTTGAACTACTGCTTCGATTCGTCGCTCGACTTCTTGTCCGTCAGTATTTTCTAGTAACAAATCACCAGGAATCACTCTTTTAGGTCTCTTCGTAGTGACAGTAACATTGTCTATTCTACCAGTGAGTACACCAACAGCTAACCCGATATCGAGCCCTTGTTTTCCCTTAGAACTTTTAGTTTCTTGCCCTTTTATTAATGCATCAACGTGTGATGTGTCAAAAATATCATCGTCTTGAAATTCTTCGGGTGAATCAGGTACATATGCGAGTTTTACCTCTCCGCGTTCAACTGCTTCTACATAAGAAGTATCAAAAATATCGTCTTGGTCTTCCTCCTCAGACTCGTCGTCTGTAACTCCGTATTCACTTTTATTACCGTCGTCCGCTTCTGTGGCAGAAGACTGAACTAGCTGTGGAAAATCTGCTTCTGTGATCTCAACTACAGGCCTGTGTGGAACTTCCTTTTCTTTCGATTCAACTTTTTTTGGTCCTGCCGGGACGCGTTGAAAAAAGGAAGTAGATTTAATTCGATCAAGATCACCTTGCGTTTTCTTAAGAACAGAATCTATGCCAGTTGTCAAATCTTTGAATTTAGACCACTCTTCATTTTCTTTGACAGTTCCTTCACTGTTTTCAGCACTTTGCTGTTGATGCTCTCTTCTGTACTTTTCTAATTCCTCTTCCGTAAAAAGCTCCTCTTCTCCTTTACGCTTGGATTTTTTTCCCTTTTTCTTCTTTTTAAGGCCTTTGGGTAGCTTTAGCATTATACGAGTTTCTAATCAGTACTTCGTGTTGCTGAAACAAAACGTATTCATTAATAACTGTTATAATCTCTAACAAAAAACTTTTATAGAAATAAATGGATACAAAGATTTTTAAGCGTGACCAATGCAATATAACATAATGTAAAACACTTGATAACTTCACCGTGAAGGTATGGGTTTTTGTTTCCTGTTATTGATCGCAAAATGTCTTTCAGGATTTGATCTATTTTATCGTGACTTTCTGACCATATCTTGTTTAAATGTAACATAATAAGTATAATATTTCGATATACTGAAGAAATTAAATGCAAATAAGATAATATATATTTTTTCAGTGGTAAGTAGATAATGTTAATCGGATCAAGAGCGATGTAGAAACGCTCAGCAGTAAGTTACGGAATCGTTTATGTAGGTAGATGATAGTATTTACGATGTGTGAACGTGCAGATGAAGGGTAAGACGGATGCATGGCAATGAGAGCTCCTCGGGGCGAGGAGCCGAGGGCGATGAGCGGGCGAGGCCGCGGGTGGAGGGCGCGGCGCCGCGGCACACCGATAGCGGCTAGCTACGGACACGTACCGGGCGTCGTCGTCCGCCGCTACTTACGGAATAGGCATACACTACCGCGCTACGGTAAAGGGTCGCTATACCTTCATCGCAACACACGGACAGTCGCGGGCGGCGGCGCGGGGCGCGTGCGGTCGGGGAGCGGCGTCGCTCTCGGCGCCTGCTGGCGGCTCACTGGCGCTGGGCGGCGAGCGACGGCCCGCCCAGCGCGCCCATCGATCTGCGCGTCGCGCTGCGCCAACTAAAGTTCAAGTGTCATCGCTCATCGCTACGTTCTCAGAGGTTTACGTAATCGACATCGCCACTCTCAGGATGTCGATATCGAACAGAGCGACTACGCCACCTGCCACATTTTAACTTCAAATTAGTTATGTACATTCATGCATCTATAAACATCTGCATGTGTTCACTGTCAATAAACAAAAGCCAATTGTGAACATGGATCTCACCTGCCATGATATCATGAATAAATCTAGTGGAATGGTTAAATGTAGTAAAAATAAACTCAAAAAATATATCAAAATTAATAGATTTATTACAAAAACACAAAAGTTTGTACATAGGCTTTTTTTTAAATGTCAAATGAAATAGAGAGAGACTGTCATTGTTTGGAAAATTAGATATGTATTCATAAAAATTAAGAAGTTGTCACATGAACTATGGTACATGAAACACAAAACCTTAATTCTCAGTTAAATTGTCTTAATGAGAAATTCATATCTATGACCAATAAATATAAGAGTTCTGAAAAGCAAATGTACATGCTGGATGTGAATGAGCTGGTGAATTCTGGTTTGTATAACTGTAATCATGCTCAAATTTTGACAAAAAATTACTCATTTAGTAGTCAACACTCCCCGGCTCACTATAACCTGGCTTGTGGCACCTCCATTACATCCCTTGTAACACAGAAAACTCAGGGCCTTAATGAGAAATAAAATTGTAATATTCAGTAATGAGATTGGGAAGGGTATGGGTCAGTTGCCGTAAATATGTGCAGTGATTTATTAATTACTAATTTCTGTAGGCCTGGATAAGAATTTTTTCAAATATCTGAATTCTGATAGTTTTAATTGTAAATAGAGGAAATTTAGATAGGCAGACAAGATAACAAGTTATGTTCATTGGATTTGAAACAGACAGTTATATTTACACTGCCATATAGTAAAGGTTTGCCGGAGACAGAAAATAACCTTAGGTATGCAGTTACACAACATGGCATATTACAATATGAAGTTTCATATAATTCAAATATCCATCCGCATCGTATGTTATTTTTGAAAAAAAAATTGAATGAAGTCTTGCAGAAAGTAAGTAAATCAAAGAAAAGTATAGATGGCTGTGGTGATTTTAATGTCAATATATTGGAAGATACATCCTTAAAACCTTTAAAAACCTTTTTGGATCATACAACCTTGATAACATCCTTTTGGAGCCAACCAGGATCCCTGTCACCACAGCCAGGTGTTCAAATAATATATTTACTGAAATATTCCCACACACCAAAGGAATAATAAACAAACTACATTCTGACCACTGTGGACAGATGTGTGCTTTTTTTGTGGTAACACGAGATATTACTGTAGTACCTAAAACTGTAACTCGTATGGAAAATTTTAAACATAAACTGCTCTGTAAACTGCCTGACTTGGATTATACTGAAGATCCTAATCAGTTTAAACATTGCTTTTTTTAACATGTGTTGTACAGAATTTGAATCAACTTTTACTCCTAAGAAGTTATCAGTTAAGGGTGCTATAACCTTCAGTGAATGGGTCACGGTTCGAATATATAAAAGTAGAAAATGGCTTAACGAGCTTTATGAAGAACGAAATTATAACACTAGCATGGAATTTCGAGAATATGTTAAACGATATTTCAATATATTCAAAAAAATATGTCATGCTGCAAAAGCTAAAAAAGTAAAAGTTCAAATAAAATAAGAATGACCTAGGATATAATGAATGCCGAAACTGGAAGAACAAAGAACAAATGTAATAATTACAGACTTTTAATTGATAATAAAGAAATTAAATCCGATTTAGATGTTGCCACAACTTTTGAATTTTTTTACACACATTCCAGTTTCGACCACAGATTCATCGAATTCGTCTCCCACTATTGCAGAATCATTATTGAAAGAAAATATTAACATTTGTAATACTGGATTTAGATTTATTTGTATCGCCGGCAGAGATATTGTTAAACCCTTCAATGCTCTTAATATTAAGACAACCGCCGATCTTTGGGGTAATTCTGTACAAATAACAAAGTCAATCATTAGCGAAGTTGCATGAGAGTTGGCCTTAATATTTAATGAGTGCATTGAATGTGGTGTATTTCCTGACCTAATAAAGCATAGTAAGATCGTTCCATTATTTTAAAAGGGTGCTACTCGTCTAAAATAATGGGTGGTGGTCTGATCCTACAAATCATAGACCTATTTCAGTGTTACCTATTTTCAGTAAAATTATTAGAAAATAATACTAAATCAGCTGCAAACTCACTTTAGTGTAAACGATATTCTACACAGAAAACAATTTGGCTTTAGAAGAGGTCGCTCAACAAGTGAACTTCTGGAAAGTATATTTGGTGCCTGGGAGGATAAACGAGATGCGCTGGGTGTGTTTTGTGATTTGTCTAAGGCATTCGATTGCGTTTGTCATGAAACTGGATCTTCTTATCTCTTGTTTGGGTAATAGGACTCAGAGAGTGGAAGTTAAAGGACAGAGTTTCCTAGGGAGGTCACCATAGTGATAGGGTTCCACCATAGGGTTCCGCAGGGCTCAAATCTCGGCCCATTTTTGTTTCTCATTTCTATAAATGACATACCTAATCAGATAAAAGATAATCAGTAGATAGTGATATAGTGATGACACTTAACTTTCACACAAATCAGTTACTGATGATGTGAATAACACTCTCTCCAAGGTCGTGAATTGGTTCAACGTTAATAACTTACTTTTAAACGAGAAAAAAATAAATGTATTAGAATTTTTACACCTAATATTAAGCAGGTAAATACCAGTGTTCTGATAAATGGCAAATAGTTAAATCTTGTTTACACCACTGAGTTTTTAGGTATAGCTCTAGACTCTAAATTGCAGTGACGCCCATACATTGATGAATTGTATTCGACAATCATCGACTCAGCTCTGCAGCATACGCGGCTTATAAAATTTATTAACCGATGTTAAAACAGCTAGACTAGTATTTTTTAGCTATTTTCATAGTGTAATGTCATACGGTATTTTGTTGTGGGGAAATGCTCCTGACATTTAAAGTATCTTTGTGTTGCAAAGGAGAGCTATTCGTGCAATTTATAATCTCAGTTATAGGCAGGGATGAGTTTAAAGAAATAGGTAATACCTATCTACCTATCTATATACAGTCGCATCTCAATATACGAGTATATGTATGAATTTTTTATGTATGATTAGAAAAATATTCATGTATTCACAAAGCTTAGTGATATTCATAATAATATATGACTACTAGAAATAAAGATAAACTCGTGTTGCCAACGACTAGACTACAAAAATGAAGCAAGTTTTTTCGATGTCAGTCAAACATGAATTAAGTACCTATTAACAAATTTAAGTCAAATCATTACAAAAAACTTAATAAAACAAAAACTATGTGAAAATGCTTACTGCACGGTTACAGATTATTTAGATGACAAATTGTAGTAGTAGTGTAGTGACGTATTAAGAATACGGAATGTCACTACCCCAATTCATCCCGTGGGGGTCGTAAGAGCCGACTAAGGGCGCAAAACGACGCAGGTCACCAGCACTGCAAAAAGAAGGAAAACTTGACACAAACCCTATACCAACCCGTCTGGCCAGCGTGGTGTAGTAGGCCAAAACCTCCTTTCTAAGGAGAGGCCTATGTCCAGCAGTGGACTATTAAAGGCTGATGATGTGATGTGTGTGATGAAATTTCCTTGGGATTGATGTTGCTCACTCCTACATTTGAAAGGGATGAACCTTTGATGCGGTTTGTTTCGGCGTTTCTTCTCAGAGCGAGTCTTAGAAAATGCCGGCGCCTTATAGCTGTAAAGTCCAACTTGCAAAAATATCTGAAAAGATTTACTTGCAGAAATAAATATCATTTCATCATGTCATATTATACCTGTAAAGTAATCTACTTGTGAAAAAACACTAGTCTTATCACCATACATACAATTTACCTAGTATTTTATTTTTGACTCAGTACCGATGTCTAATAATACCATGTTAACAATATAGACTTTCTGGGAAACCATTGTCTCTAGGGAGTCTACTCGAATGTCTTGTAAAACAGGCTGTAAGAGTGGTAGTTCTGTTTCTGTTATCTAATTGAGCCTTATCCTTTCTTCGGTCTTTTTAGGAATATTACTTAGGCGCCTGCATACTTCTGCCTGTGTGCGTGTGTGTGTTCTCGGAGGCTGGACGCTTGAGTAACATACAATACTCCACTCCATACTCCTCGAAGTTAGGACTCACTTATTCCATCGTACATCTTACTTTGACCTAGTTATTTGCACTCATTCAATACATAAAGTTCCTTTATCCTACGATGAGTGTGAGACAATAAAAAGTTTTATTCATAGTTTCGATTTCGAGTATAGTTTAATAAAATATAAAATTAAATTAAAAAATAATTTACAGCACACAGAGAACTCAGATCACAAAGTACAGTGACAGTGGTTTAGGGACAGACAGCGCGTCTGTGTTTTTGACATCTAAAACTTTAACATTACTTCGTCCAAATTTGGAATACGTACGAATATATAGAGACAGGTTAAAAAAAAATAAGGACACTAAGTGCACAACCAACTTTTTTCCCGGACAACATGATTTCAAGTCCTCCCCGAATCCACACCACGCCTGATAAGGCCCTATCCCAGTGGAAACGACTTCCCCCTTTCAATCGCGGCGTGGCGGCCCGATTGCGTCTTATTGCCATCAAGCCGCCATCCTATACTGCAGCAATTAATCTGCCACCAGAAGTCCCCACTCTCTACGCCGACGTCCTCTACGCTTGAGATCGGCCCTCTTCCGATCCCGTTCAGCGTTCATAGTGACAGGTCTCGTTCGATATGGTCGACTTCGCGTTACACAGTGCTGGCATTGTGCCGTCTCCTCAGATCCGATTCAGGTACTCACCCAAACAACCATGCGCAGTGAGTACCTGCGTCAGCCGGTAGGTGACGCGACCTCCCTCCCTACCTACCCAAGTTTCGAGGTTATTAAGCACGGCA